TCTGTGCTGAATAAAGAGCATGAAATCCACACTCGACTCCGAGTATATTTCAGTAGAGTTGGAAGGCACCTGGAGGGTCAGCTCGTCCAAACCCCCTGCAGTGCAGGAATATGCAGATCACTACAAAAAAAGACAGCCCCTAACTCCAGACTTAGAAATCTATAAGGCACAAAAGAAAAAAGAATTGTGAGGGAGGAGGGTGGGGGAGAGGAAGCAAAGTCGGGCGCAAGTACTTAGTTCCTTGCTCTTCTAATGCTCAAGAAGAAACTAGAGCTCAAAGCTGCTGGTTTTTCTGCTGCGCTGAAGGAGTGGCCCTGCAGGCCTCCTCTCCCCTCTTCTGATCCAGCCTGATGGAACGCTTGCTGCCAGGTGATATAGGCTGTACGGATTGGGCCCAGAAGGAGGGGGCAAGTGGTTAGGCCATGGCAACGGCAGAAAGGATGAGGAAGGCCTGCTCACAGTCCAGGATCCCTCCAAAACTTGGAGCCAGTTCGGCCACCAGTATCCCAGGGGTTCCTAAACACCCAGGGGGAATCAGGTTGGGATTCCTTCCAGCTCTACAATACGATGATGCGCTCCTAAAAGATTTGGCATTGCCCGACCAGAGAACAGTTCTGAGACATTTCTTGTCCAACACTGCCACCATGTGGCATTATTTCCTTCTCCCCACCCAAAGTCAAACTGGTCTTAAAAGGAAACGCTTCTCGTGGTGTTTCTCTCAAACCAACTTCAGGGTAGTTTCAGTGCGCACGCAGCCAGAGACTACGCCCGTGTGGAAACTTCCTCTGCTCTTCCCGCTTCAGCTCTCTCCTGGATCTGGGAGACAGCGGTGCAGGAGATTGTGGGGAAGCACCTGTCCATTCACTTGTGTCTCCTGCCTCTTCCTCTAGCTCTGAAGCTTCCCCTGTGTCAGAATCTTGCCTCCTGGGTGGTACAGATCCCCACAAATCACTCACCCCCTGCTCCCGAGTCAGACTCATTCCCCTTCCCCTGATGCACAGTCGACATCCTTCTGCTAGTCTCTGACACAATGTGCCATTTAATTAATTCATTTATTTCATAAAATTTATATACTGCTTCATTTAAAAAAATAAAAATAAAACAAAGCTCAAAGAAAGGTTTTAGTCCTTCAAAATCGCCCTCCAAAGGGGACCTCTGCTGTTTCAAAATGCATGTTTAGTCAGCAGTGTGGTAATTTCAGAAGCTAGCCGTCTCTTCTTCTTCTTTTAATACTTTTCAGTTTCTGAAGATGCTTATAACCAACAACCCCCATATATACCCCCCACCCCAAGAAACATTCCATGCATATACAGTGTAAATGATACTGTCAAACAGTAAGCAGATTCGCATAATATATAGCTGATAGATGGTGATAAGTTAAGTGTCTTCTGGTGGAACAGACTTCAATGAGGAGTGGTGGACACTCCTTCCTGGGAGGTTTTTAAGCAGAGGTTTGATAGTCATCAGTCATGTATGATTTATTTGACATTCACTCTGGGCGGCTTTCAACAGAATATTAAAATACAGTAGTCTATTAAACATTAAAGGCTGCCTTCAGATGTCTTCTGGTAGTTGTTGTTCTCTTTGACATCTGATGGGAGGGCGTTCCACAGGGCGGGTGCCACTACCGAGAAGGCCCTCTGCCTGGTTGCCTGTAACTTGGCTTCTCGCAGCGAGGGAACCACCAGAAGGCCCTCAGAGCTGGACCTCAGTGTCTGGGCAAAGTGATGGGGGTGGATGGAGACACTCCTTCAGGTATACTGGACCGAGGCCGTTTAGCTCTACAGTTCTGATTCTACAATCTCCATCTTAACCGATCATCCCAGAGTGATGCTCTCAGTAGTATCTCAACTTGTCCATGTCTGCTTTCCCCACTCCTTCAAATTCTTTGCCTTTTCATCTTCCCTACATGCTATCTTCCTTCATCTCTGCACCTCCTCCTTGGGTCTGGCTCCACCTACATTTGGCTCTGGCCCCATTTACCGGCTGCTGTGCTCAGTGCAATGGTTGTTCCAGGCTGCCAGGGACTGGAAGCCCCCTTGGCACAAGCTGAATGTCGGAAACATAAATTCCAACTTTGCAATGCTTTCTTTGGCCCGCCCTGAATCTCCCAACATCCAGCATCCCAGAAAAGACCTGGGTTCTGGTCTTGCAAAACCTCTTTCCTCTGCTCACCTTTTCTTCCATGCCTCACATAACTTTCGCACGTGGTCTCAGAGGAAGGGGGGCTGCGTCTTTCTCCATGTAGATCATTTAGCAACTCAAAGATAATTACCCAGCTCCTCCTGAGAGACAGCTGTGCTCCAGGCAACAGCACCACAGCACAGCTTTCTTTATTATTAATGACAATGCTCCAAATCGATAGCAGGGTATTGATTGAACTTCCAACCACAGAAGTAATTATAAGACTGATATTTAATTCAGCCACAGACATGTTGCTTAAATGGTGCATTTGTGCTCCCGGAACATCCGTTATTCTATTTTCTTTCCGGCATACTTTGCAGTGTGCATAATTTCACTTGGGCTGTAGCCATTGCTTTGCTACTCAGAGTAAACCTGTCAAAATGACTGGACCTATGCAAGGCTGCTGAGCAGGAGCCAAGACCTTGAAGAGAGAACTTGGGTGGACAGCAACAATATTGGATGCGTGCTGCTACACATAGTATTGGTAAGCCCTTTTATATTGCTCCCTTTCTTGTTTGGTGTTTTTAATGCTTGCTTTTGTAAGTAGCTTCGAGTGCACCTTTCTGAATAATATTGTTATGAATTGGGGCAGCAGGGAATAGGCTGCATGACAAGATCTTTCTACTCCCTGGATCCAGCAAGTGTTGAAATATAATCAAGGATTCAAAACTGGCTTCCTGGTGAAGTGATAGGTTGTTAAGGGAACAAAGGAAGTGGATCTGTGCCGGGTGAAAACTTACTGGTAGTTAGAAAGCAGAGCTGAGGTGTGTGAGCTTGAAATTGATAGAAGCCAGAAATAGAGTATGATGCTTGATTTCTACTGAAGTCCACGGGAGAAGCAAGACCCTCTTGGGGTGTTAATACTGTGAACACCTCCGTCGTAGGCTCCGGTTGCATATATGTGCAAATAAACCATATATCATGAAGACATATCTGCCGAGTGGCTGAGTGAGTGGCAAAAGGCCTGGAAATGATGCCTTATGAGGAACGGCTAAGGGAGCTGGGCATGTTTAGCCTGGAGAAGAGGAGGTTAAGGGGTGATATGATAGCCATGTTCAAATATATAAAAGGATGTCACATAGAGGAGGGAGAAAGGTTGTTTTCTGCTGCTCCAGAGAAGCGGACACGGAGCAATGGATCCAAACTACAAGAAAGAAGATTCCACCTAAACATTAGGAAGAACTTCCTGACAGTAAGAGCTGCTCGACAGTGGAATTTGCTGCAAGGAGTGTGGTGGAGTCTCCTTCTTTGGAGGTCTTTAAGCAGAGGCTTGACAACCATATGTCAGGAGTGCTCTGATGGTGTTTCCTGCTTGGCAGGGGGTTGGACTCGATGGCCCTTGTGGTCTCTTCCAACTCTATGATTCTATGATTCTATGATTCTATGATTCTATGAAAATGAATGCTTGGCAGCTTAGCTGAATGGCTCAAAAAGGGACCAGCCGAGTGTGTTGATGGGTCAGTAGCTGTGTGGCTACTCAGTGAAAGACTAACTGGCTGAGTGACTGGTAAAGTGTGAGTGGCTATATTCCAAGAGAGGAGCAAAATCTGGGACATGGGCATCAGGTAAGGGCTCCTCCTACTGCAGACATATATAATGATCCTTGGGCAGCCAGGAGAACAAGAGAGCCAATGCTTGTCCACCTCCCTATTGACCCTAGGATGCAGGAATTGAGAACTATTTCCAGCAGGAGGTTTGAGGGCAAATCTATGGGGCTTCTGTGTCAATGGCAGGCATAGCCAGAGGCAAAAGGTGAACCTTACCTTTGTACAAGAGGCTACAGTCATGCAGAAGCCAGAGGTTTCTATATGCATGCAGGTCCCACAATCTGCCTGCCCGAATGCGAAAATTCACTTATCTGAACATAAAATAATTTCGCCCAAACCTCGCTACTGAATCAGATACTGAACAGCCGGTTTGCCCCCTTCCTGACGTGATTGTGCTTTGCTGGTCAGCGGTAGCCATTTTCAGGCAGAAAACATGAAGGGAGAGAGACAGCTTTGCTATTGTTGTTGTTTACTTGTGTCCAACTCTTTGTGACCCAATGGAGACAGCAAAATCAGACAAATCAGAGATCAGGAGAGATCAGGTATGTAAGTTTTCCCTTTGTCTCTCTTTTGCTGGTCGGCTGCTGACATTTCAGGAAGTGAAATGACATTTCAGGAAGTGAAATGCCATGGAGTGGGGGGGGGCAAGACTGGACAAAACCTGGAGCTGGTCAGTTTCATTGTAAATGGCTCTTTATTCAGAGAAAACAAGATAGCTCAGTCCATTCCTAGAGAGGGCACCAACTCTTCATGGTAGAAGTGGCCCCATGGGGCAGTCGTGAGCACTGAAGGTCCCTGATTTCCCACAGCTCTCCAAGTCCTCCTTCCCAAGCAATCTGAGGCTCCAACGCCTTGTCTGTTTTTGCTCCACCCTCTTCATACCTCTTCTGGTCCTGGGAGACCAGCAGGGAGGGGAAGCTGGTCACAGCAGGAGGAAGGCATTTGCGCCTCTTTAGCAGCCTGACTTATCTCTGCCTCTCAGCCCTGCTCCTCTCCTCTTCTGCCTCCGATTCTGGACCGCTCTCTGCCGCAGCCTCTTCCTGCTCACTAAAGCCTGTTACCTCTTCAGCTTCTGACACCTCCTCCCCCCAGTCTGCTCCCTCTGACCACTCATCGCCATCCCACCACCAATCCCTTAGCTCTGAGCCTTCTTCCCTCGGGGATTCCCCAGCTGGTGCCTATGACAACTCCTCTGCCTCCAGCCAGTCACGACACTTGTACTGTACAGTGAAAATACACCCCAATGGAAAAAGCCAATGAAGAATCAACTCGATGTGGTTTTGTTTTTACTTGAAAACTGGTTTTAAATTTTGGCAGTTACAAACCTGTACACATTTTTTTTCTGTCTTTTTTTTTTTTTAGCAAAATAACACAAGACAATACTGCCAACAGCAAATATGAAAGACCGATGCATTTGCCGACGAGGGACCAGATCCACACGAAGTGATAACCTTCCCTTTGCATAAAATTGTTGTGTAGTTGGAATAATGGCGGAACCTCAAATGCCTAAGTGAAACAGCATTAGAAAACATGTCTGTAATAGCATTTGTGCAAAGACCCATTCATCTGAAGGGATGGGGTTCATTAGGAAGCAGTCTTAGAAACTGAGAGAAATGTTAATGAGAAACAGCTGAGTCAAAGAAAAGTTACAGTAAATTCTGAAGTGATTAAGAAGTGTTGTTTTCCCAACCTATTCACCCTTTTTTGTTGATTTTTCCATTACCTTAAATCTGACATTGATGAGTTTCTTCAGAATACATAAATGAACACGAAAAAAAAAAGAAATTAAAAGCAACTTGATTGGCATCAAATATCTACAAAAGCCAGGTAATTCCAAAATTATTATGTACATTATTTTATAAACTTTTTTTTAAAACACCAAAAACATACATCTTTTACAAACCAGCCTGCTTGCAACAGGTAAAATTTACAAGACAACTATCTTTCTTATACAGTGCTTCAAAAGAACTCCTTACATTTCCCAGACGAACCTCTCCAAATGCAGTTACTATGGGCTTGTAAAATAGTTCTGGAAACAACCCAGGTCTCTGATAATGACAGGATTTAGCTATACAGTGAGGGTTCAAATTTCCACCACCCGGTTCAAATTTATCCTTAACACTGCCGGTATCAAACCCTGGTTATGGCCTTGTAACACAACATTTGTAAATTATTGCTTTATAAAAAAAACTACATGATGGGAATCATTTCATTTGCAGTACTCTCCAGTTGCCCCTCTCACATGTGAAGTAACAACAACGTCAGTGCCTTTTTGTTTGGTGCATAGCCTTGGAAACAGCAAGCTGAAATTAACAGTCTGCAATGGACAAGCTTACAGTAAATTGCATTACAGATATGTCGGGTGTGAGGACAAGTGCCAAACAGGCAAAACCGTGATTACAAAATGATTTCAGAAACACCAAATGTTGCGTCATCATGAACACGCCTCCCACCTCCATTTCCTGATTTAAGGTCTTTCCGCAAACTATTTTTTGAAACTAGAGTTCAATACAATAGCCCCGTTAAAAACTTCTTGCAGTTCTTTCCCTCTAGAATCTGAAAACTCCCTTTAAATAAAAGCAGCCCACTAACTTGACGGCAATGCCAAATTCTTACCACGAGGAAACCAGAAGTCTGTGACCCTTGGTAGTATATGAATTCATCATGATACACCATGAGCTGCCGCCTGAACGGAAAGAGGTTTGGAGTCACAAATACCTCGTGGGCAATCCTTTCTTTCGATAGATTTGGTTTACTCTTTTGTTAGCGGGACGATCTTTTAACACTGAAAGCAGATCTGGGCAGCATATGACCCACAAAAAGTCTCCAGGATGTCCCAGTCTACTACATGGAGGGAAGAGAAGTCAGAAATGTGGTTTTCCCTGCCTGGAGTCTGAAGTGCTTCAGGGTAGAATCCTACTTCCTCAGTCAGGATATGGGCACATTCATACCACACATTAAAAAAATGGCCACTTTACATAGTAATGGCTTCCTTCAAAAAATTCTGGTAGCTGTAGTTTGCAAAGGGTGCTGAGAGGAGGTCCCTGTTCCTCTCCCAGAACTACAACTCCCGGAGTGCGAGTTTAACAGTCAATCCCTCTCCTCAGGAACGGGATAGCTCTGGGAGGGGAAGAGGGATCTCTTTAACAACTCTTGGACAAACTACAGCCCCCAGAATTCTTTGGGAGGAAAGCCATGACCATTTCTAGCAGCATCATAGTGCTTTAAATGTATTATAGTGCGAATGTGGCCTGTGAGCCTTGCAAGACCAGCTCAAATTCAGCTGACTCAATCGAGTCAGGGAACTTTCTTACAACTAACCTTTGCCACACGTCACTGGCGTTAATCCAAACCGAACACAAATCGGAAGCAGAAATGATGATTCACACAATGCATGCCCACTGTTTTCTTCTAGATCGTGGCCAATGTTGTTAGGGATTTGTTTATTTTTTAGCCTGGAGGATTAAGGGTGGAAACATGCAAGCAGGTCTGTGTGGGGTTAAGGAAGAGCCTAAATGAAAATATGGTGCATGGGTTAATGAATACAATTATTTCTGAGGTTTGCACAGCTGGACTTTCCCCCTTGCATAAGTTGGGCAACTGTATGGGCCGAGGGGGCAGAGAGCAGCTGGAGGAAAAAGAGAGGGGGGGAGGGAGAATGGTTGGCTGCATAGGCTTTGGGAAGAAGGGGAAGGACCGAAAACTGCAGGGCTCCCACAGAGGGGAGGGCAGCTTAGGATGTGCAAGAATGGAAGATATTCCCTGCTCAGGAGCCAAGGCTCCCACCATGCTGCTAACATTAGGCAGCGTTAGAGTCCTTTGTGCGGAAGACTTGTAGAAAACAGGCGGGGGACACACCAAGTGCAGGGAATAGCGACGTTTATCTTCTTGCTTGTGCATTAAGGGGTTCCCACTTTTCAATTTATTTCCCTGTGTGACCCTGTTGATATGTCGCAATAAAAATAAAAAATAAACCTAGATATTGAGCGCCCCTGGGAAACACGAGCTGGAATGCACCCTCTGTGAAGTGTAAACCAGGTAGGGATTAGTTCGCAATTACTTCATGGTGGGGGACAGAGGTCACTGGTCCAGTCGAAGAAAGGTTCAAAGTTCACACGTGCAATAGCTGAAGCGACCCAACGCATACTGGGTGCGAACTACGGCAGAACACCTCACTGCCCATCCTGCTATTGAAAAAGGAAGTTAAATTCTCCTGTCCCACCAGGACAATTCACATACACACACATCAGCGAGCTTCTCCATCGAGGAAGCACCTCTGAGTCAGCAGACCCTTTTGGCCAGCGTTGGCCGCCCCTCGCTTGGAAGAACTGGTTTGAGTTTGGGAGACAAATTTGTTATGTAGCTTCTTCTTCACAACTGGCAGACAGGAAGTTCAAGTAATATCGCTTCCCCACCCACCCACCCTCCCAGAAAACACATCGGAGGTGGAAGGACTGAGAAAGCAAAGGTATCACAAATTTGTTACGTCCATGATATTCTTGAGGGGAAACCAAGAAAAATGTCCATTAATTTAACAGGAAGTATGGACAGGCCTATATTTATCCAAATATTCATATGGGTGATATATTTGCCTTGGCTCAAAACCCATTTTTAACAGATGTCTCAGTGCTCTATCCAGAATGTTTGCTGCGGTACAAATCTTTGCGATGATGCTCTTAAGGGAATGTGGGGAAAGGGGCAGTAAACATTGAATTACGAGCTCCACGATGTGGATTTCAGAGTCCCTTTGCTATTAAAAGTGTTACATGGCGGTTGTGTTGTTTATTCCTTCTTGTTGCTTTTAACCATTTTGACTGCTGGGTGGCAGCTTATGAACAATATTTCTCATGGCAGAAAGAACTGGCTGCTTAATGAAAGCTGAAACGATGAAATTCGGTTCAGTCAGCAGAAAAGAAGAAAGAAAAAAAACCCAGTTCATGGAAGGGAAGCACTGGGAACACTCATTTAACGTCGTGTTGATGGGGAACTCGGATAAGGCAGGGGCATGAAAAACCTGTTAGGGCATCTATTCATCCGTGACTCCACTCCAGGAGGAATGATTTATTCATTCCGTACCCTTCCTGGCTGGCTGAATTCTCTTAGGAAAGGGAGAGTGGCTTCCCCTCCCACCTTTAAACTGTATATAGGCAAAATAAAATAAATAAAAATTATTTTAAGAGACGGCAACCCCTTTCCCTTTTTGCAGCATTAAAGCCGGGGATGCAAATATGGCTGGGGAACACTTCCCCAGACCTCCACAATTTTCTTATTTTTTTTAAGAGAGCATGTGGATGAACGAAAAGTGGTGATGAATCCCAAAAAGCCTACAGTGGGTCTCGAGGGACCGAACACACCAAAATAAATAAGTAAAAATAGTGTGGATGCCTTGGGAGTTTTTTTGCACGGACCACGTGTGGGATGCAGAAGCAGCTCCTCAGCAGAGTTCCTTGAAGAACGCCGGTCTGCAAATCCTGCGTCCTTGGAGCGCCTCTCAGCAGAGTGGCCAAGTGCGAAGGAGAGCAGGGCTCCCGAATCCTTTCACTGCTGTGCAGTGGCTGGAGTTTTTCTGCAGCTGCTGCTTACTCCTGCAAGACGAGCTGCCCCAATCCTCCTTCTTTCCTGGAACTACAGGATGGTCAGTATGGTCTTAAGTACATTTCATGCTCATTTGATGAGATCAAGGCACCGATTGCTACTAAGGAGTTGGTCTGGCAGTGTGTTAGCTCACCATCGTGCACAAGCCGAGGCACAGTGACCCACTGGATTCAACTGAGAGCATGGAGTGATTGTTGCAGATTCCATATGGTTTGCAGCAGATGGGATATCCCGCCACTCAGTGTCTCAACATGGTGCCAAAGTATCTCTCAATCCCCTCTTGCTTTGGGGCTGGAGGAATAACTATGACCTGCAGATGAGATCCATTGAAATTAACAGACACAGCTAACTGAGATGCTTAAGTCTACCCTGCGTGGGGCTAGAATTGGAAACAACTCTTAGAGTACAAACACAGTCACTTTAACTACATCCATAACATGGCATAAAGGGATCTTATTATGGACTGTTGGTTTGGAAAGGATGTCCCTTTCCCCTCCTTAAAATTCAGATATACTTTGTGCAGCAGCAGCAGCAGCAGCAGCAGCAGCAGCCTTGGCACCTAATTCACCCTTATTTATCACTTCACCCAAGTTTGACCCATGCAGCCACAGTTCTAGGAGCCAGGAAATGAGGTTCAGCTTTTCTTGAATACTGCAAGTGCTTCAGCCTTGTAACACTTTTAATAGCGTGATCCCCCACAAAGCTGGTTGGAGGAAAATTCAGTCTGCCACCACACAATGGAGAACCTCTATGCTTGGCAACAAACAACCAATGTCAACTCCAAGGGATCAAGAGCCTTCTCCAGCTACCAATTTTGGGAGGCAACCATTTGCTCTCTCCTTTCACATGGTCACCACGGATTTCTCGACAGGGTTAAAAATGGGTTATGCTATATTTCCACTTTGCCCCATATACAGATCTATTTATTTTTTTTCTCAGTGTAAAGAAAGCCTTCTTGACAGTTAATGCTATGAATGGGACCAAATGACAGAAACAACGTCAACAAAAGAGGCTCCTTCACACTTGGGTCTGGTGGTGGGTCTCCACAAATGGAATGTGAACGTGGTGGTGGTCAAGGCGCAGCTCCTCAATGCTTTCATAGTCACTCATGGCCACCTCAGAGTCATCAAAGCCACAGCCCATAGAAACGTCAGACGACGATGCGTCCAGGGAATTGTGTAACGACAAGGGCTTCTTGGCCAGGCTATTGTTCTCTGAGTTTGGTCCTGGGCCAACACCAAAAGTACTAAACTCGTTCCCAGTCTGAGACCCGCCGTTGTCCATCTCGTTGGGGAACTGGTGCGGAGGGAGGTACTGGCTCGGGTGGAACTGTGGCCGTCGCCTGCAATCCGGGCTAAGTGTGCCAGCCATGGAGACCGGCTGGGATGAAGGAAGGGCTTCGTATTGGTCTGGGTAATCCTCCGGGAGGGGAGGCGGCAACTGGTCCTGGTTTAAAAACTCCTCATCCTGTGGCGGAGGGTAGTCGCTGTCAATATCGTAGCCGCCAAGGTAGTAGTCTGTTTCCAGCTCCCTTGTGCTCCCGTGATGCACTGAGCTGCCATCTGTTGTCTCATAATTGGGCACCTCCTCAATGTCAGATAGTCGAGCGCTCGGCATCCAATCAGAGGTGTCCCAGTGATAAGCTGTGGAAGGAAGCAAACCCACAGTGAATGGGGAGGGAGGCGTTAAGTCTTGGAAGAGAGGCAGTCAATGGCATGCACCCGGCATGAAGCAAATCCCCACTGCGTCCGAGCATAATGAAGCTGTATATGCAAAAAAATAGCTGGCATGCATCACCGTTGTTTTGCTCTTAAAAACCCTGGCCAACCATGCTTTGGCCCAAGTGGAGAGAAGCGATATAACGTCACGACGACAACCAATGCAACCCAGCCAAGTTTATGTTAGAAAGGAAGAGTCTGATAAATAAATAAAAAATGCTGAAAACCCAACATAAGGTTCCACGCATGGGAGGTGAGCATCAAACTGTTAGCGCAGAACGCAAATATATACATTAATAGAAGTCAGCATGCTCTTGCTGCTGCATTCTTTTCCAAGATCTTGGTCTGGGGAGGGAAAGCAAAATTACACAGGCACACAAAATAAATAGGCGGAGATGAAAAAGAACCAACAAATCCCTGGAAGGAAAATGAAAACAAAATTCCACCCCACCCCCGCCTTGGGCACCCAAAATATATACATGCTCAGACATGCAGAACATGGGCATAGCTTGATCTAAAAGGTGAAGGGCCGAACTGAGTGTATTAGTAATGTGTTAAAACTCCGGCCTTTGGGACCCCCCTCCACATTCCCACGAATTTCAGCAGGCAGGTATGCATCACCTCTGTTGTAGTTCTGTCCTTGATCCATATCAGTCACTGTTAAATACAAAGTGGGAGAAAAAGCAACACTGGAAACTCTCAGGCCTGCACATTGCAGAAAAATCTCACATTCCTTCTAAAACACATCTGACTTAAAAGTATTATGAAAAGTGCTTTTAAGCAAAGCTTCCGTTTAAGGTTTATCTTTTTAAAAAGCAAATAAATCTGATTTTTCTAGGCAGAAGTCAATCGACACAATCACTTTATGTCTAATCATTACGACTATAGTTATCTGAATCAAACATGCAAAGCTGACTCAAGCACATAGCTTTAACACAAACAAAAAAACCCTATGCAGTTTTACCCCCCTCTCTCGCTCTCTTAAAATTTGTGAAGTATGCTTTATCTCTCTCTCTTGCTCACTGTGAAACAGAAAAAAAATAAGAATCTACCATTCTCAGGGCCGGTTCAAACAAATCTGGGCCCAAGTACGCTCAGATACCACGGTGAGAGGCACGGTATAACAACCTGAACAGAACAGAATAGAAAGGCAGTCAATTGGGCCACCGGAAGCAAATACGACAGAGCCCTCTCCTAGCTAGAAAGAGGAGACTTTCCATATGGAGTGTGGAACGAGGCCAGGGGAAGCAAACAGCCTGGGTTCCTTCTCTGCCTTTATCTTAGGGTCTGCTATGGATAAGCCACCATGGTGGGGTGCTGCTGCGCTCCCAACACCGAAGTCACTGTTACTTACTGGGATGGAGCAAGGCAGGTGGCAGCAACCTCAGGGCCATGCGGGCACTTTGGTGGAGCCAATCCCTTGCTTCCACTGGTGCATCCACACTCTGCCAACTTTGCCGCCACCCCAGTAAGTGGTAGGGTGTGAGGGAGGTCCCCAGAATCCACCCCACTATCTTGGTGGCTCCAAATACCAAGTCCGACTGCTGGCCCAGGTTGTTGTTATCTGGCCTTAGGACTCATGCAGACTTCCTTTTGCACCACACATTCCAGGCACTTAGCCATTTGCTCTGCTTCAGTGGTAAAAGGTGGGTTTTCCCAGGGAAAGCACTGGGACAAAAAACCAAAGACACGGCTTGGAAACAAGAGCTCTAAAGCCCAGATGTATGCCTAGAAACATGGGACGAAAAGAAGACTGGATGAGCCCATAGTAGCAGATTGCATCTCTCCAGGCTTTCTTTCAGGCAGCAGTCTTTCTTAGCCTACCTAGAGGTGGCAGGGATTGAACCTGGGACCTTTCACATTCAAACTACGTTTCCGAGCACAATTCAAAGTGTTGGTGCTGACCTTTAAAGCCCTAAACGGCCTCGGTCCAGTATGTCTGAAGGAGCGTCTCCATCCCCATCGTTCTGCCCGGACACTGAGGTCCAGCGCCAAGGGATCTCTGGCGGTTCCCTCACTGCGAGAAGCCAAGTTACAGGGAACCAGGCAGAGGGCCTTCTTGGTAGTGGCACCTGCCCTGTGGAACGCCCTCCCACCAGATGTCAAAGAGAAGAACAACTATCTGACTTTAGGAAGACATCTGAAGGCAGCCCTGTTTAGAGAAGCTTTTAATGTTTGATGCATTACTGTATTTTAATATTTTGTTTGAAGCCACCCAGAGTGGCTGGGGAAGCCCAGCCAGATGGGTGGGGTATAAATAATAAATTATTATTATGATTAGCTTGTTCTGTACTGCTGAGTTGTGCAGTTTTTTTCTGCAGGAATGCAAATCAGCACATCATATCCCAATATAGGGTTGCCATTCTGCCGTTGGCAACAGTGTCTGGGCGAAAATCGGCAAAACATCTGGGAAAATCCGGACGCATGGCAGCCCAACAGCCTTGAGCAAAACTAGAAAAGCTCAACAACTTTGCCAAAAAAAGAAAAGAAAAAAAGGCGCAACAATCTTTCTGTCCGGACTTTCACTGTTTGGAATATGGCAACCCTATCATAATAGGTTAACAGCAAGAGGGATTTAAAGGCATAGGATGGAAAGAAGCCAGAAAGTAGGCTGTCCTTTTGGAGAAAAGGGTACTTATGATGCAGCTCTAATAGGACTTTTTTATTATTATTATTATTATCGGGAGATATGACCTGAACAAATTGTTCAGGGCAAACCTTCTGAAATCAATGGACATGATAATTCATTTCTACTCTTAACAAAACTTAGGTGGAAGCAACCCTACGTTTTTCAACTATGGAGCCCAGAAGTTTACTTTTTATTGTTTTTTAAAAAGAAGGTACGGAGCAGTCTTTGGGGCAGAACTGCAGTGAAATTTATTTTGGGGAGAAAAAGACTTTCCCCCTGAAACGCTAACCCTGCAGAAGCTTGGTGAAGCATGGGATCCTTTCAGAAGATAGCATTTTGTGATATGTTTGGACCACGTCTCCTGTGATTATCATTTAAAGGCTTTACTTAATTATAAAGGCCGAAGTGGAACACGACAGAACTGGGCTGTCCTGGGTGCAGAAATCCCTCAAGCCCCGGCTGGGGAACCTGAGGTTCTGGCCAGGATTTGAGCTGGGGCAAATTCTGGCAAAACAAAAACAAAAAACCTCAATCTCTGCATTCCTCACACGGGAGCTTTGATGGCAATGAAAGATGAACTGAAACGAGGCGAGCGAGATGGTCGGCAGAAGGAAAACCCTTTTTTTCGTGACCAGTGGTTACAGCTCAGGTAGCACTGTCTGAACCGGCCCTGACTGCTCCAAAAGAACAAAACAAAAAACTGACTCAAAAGCATTGCATTGAGAGGAAACGAGGACCGTTTCTGGGTCACTGGTTGTATGCCCATACCCCACTCAGCGCAGAGGTACCGCGCGTCTTAGTGCATGCCTATATGGACAGTTTATATTTATGCTACACAGCAGAACCTCACTAACCTCCTCACTTGCCCACCATGCAGTTCAAAAGGACTTCCCTTCCTTTCCCACGTTGAAGCAAGATTTATGCAAGCAAGGTGTTGTGGACATGCTGCCATCTGCCTTATTGCAGGGCAGATTTGAGGGTAAACCATAACGCGGAACGAGTTTGCCCCTGCAGCTTGATGGAGGAAGAAACTGTCACGCCTTGTTATGCTGCCGTTTCTACGGGGATATACGCTCGGTATTTATTATCCCTGCTATGCAAAAATCTCCAAATGAATCTGAACTTCAGTGTCTAAAATCCCTGGTAGAGGACAAGGTTCCTGAGATCACGTTAAGGGTCGCCAAATTCTGTGCGATTGCCATAAAACTTAGGGAACAAGCTGTGCTATCACAATGATTAAGGCCTTAAATGATAAATTTAGGTTATATGTTAGTGACTAAGTTTTAATTTATAAATTTTTTAACTGTTGCTATATCTGTATTGTCCCTGTTATACCTAATAGCAAATTTAAATGTATCCCTATCGTGTTAATGACTTCCTTGATATTTTATGTGGGCTGGAACTGGTCTGCGACCGAAATAATAAAATTCATTCAAGGTCTTGTGGATCCGTCAAATGCAGAGCTGCGCCCAAATACACTACAGAATATTTCGCTGTAGGGACTACAGGGACTATGGCCACCTAATTCTTGAATGTCTTCTTTCATAAATCGGTTTTGTCCTGTTTACACACATGGTGCATGGGCAATTCACATTAAAACACCTATTTCTAATGGCATTTTCTCATAAAACCTGCAATTCTAAAATGTTTTCACTCAGAAAGCATCTCTATAAAAAATAGCATGTACAAATGCATATTGTTTTAAGTCATGACCAGATGGATGGGAGGTGGCCTGCTCCTGATGGGTTACACTCCACCTGAAGGATCAGGTAGTCAGCTTGCAGGTACTTCTGGATGCCTTGTTGTCACTTGAGGCTCAGGCGGCCTCAGTGGCGCAGAGTGCCTTCCATCAGCTTCAGCTGGTGGCCTATCTACACCCCTAACGGGACAGGGACAGCCTAACTTCTGTCATCTATGATCTGGTAACCTCCAGGTTAGATTACTGCAATACTGAAGATGGTTCAGAACCTTCAGCTGGGGCAGAATTCAGCAGCCAGGGGCAAGGTGGTTTAAGCATGTAATCCTGATTCTGGCCTGACTGCACTGGCTGCCAAATAGTTCCCAGGCCCAATTCAAAGTGCTGTTTTTTTGACCTATAAAGCCTTAACACAGCTCAGAACTGCAATACTTCAAGGATCGCCTCTCTCCATATGAACTGACCCATACCCTGCACTCATCATCTGAGGCCCTAATGAATCTCTGAGGCCCCCTCCACGAGAGGTCCAGAAGGTGGCAACATGGGAACGGGCCTTTTCTGCGGTGGCTCCTTGATTGTGGAATGCTCTCCCCAGAGGTGCTTGCCTGGGGGGTTCACCACAAATCTTTAGGTGCCAGGTGCAAACTTTTTCTCTTCTCCTTGGCCTTTGGCTAATTAAATGACCTATAGCCTTTTAAACTGTGTGCGTGTGAGGGGTTTGTGTGTTACTGTTTTGTCTGTTATTATGGTATATATTCCTGTGCTTTTATATTGTAAACCACCCTGTGATCCTCAGAGGAAACGTGGCATATGAATTTAATAAATAAAATAAAAAAATAAATGGAATGAATTGCATTGCAAAAATAAAAATCTGAAGCACAGCTTTGCTTCGATCAGTATATTAGTCCAGGAAGTCCAAAGCAGGTCAACGGATGCTGGAATTTGCAAAGAACCAATTAATCAAACTTCTTTTTTTCACATCAGGCCCATGGGCTGTGCCCCAAGCTGAGGTCGGGTTCAAACTAAACTGGGGATTATTATTCTTATTTATTCAATTTATATACCGCCCTTTTTCAAAAGATCCCAGGGTGGTATGGTCCTCCAAACAAATATTCCTACTTGGATCTCCTGATTCATTTTTACTTTTAACATTGCTAGTTAGGGACATAGTTGGGTTTAGGGACTTTGGGGGGGAAAGAAAAGATTTTGTTAATAGAGAAAACTGCAATCTAGATTATTATTATTATTATTATTATTATTATTATTATTACAGTGGTACCCCGCAAGACGAACGCCTCGCAAGACGGAAAACCCGCTAGACGAAAGGGTTTTCCGTTTTGGAGGCGCTTCGCAAAACGAATTTCCCTATGGGCTTGCTTCGCAAGACGAAAGCCCATAGGGAAATCTCCGGGACAGCGGGGAAGCGCAGCGCGTCTTCCCCACTGTCCTTGGACCTCCTCCGAAGCCTGGCGGCGGGGCGGAGAGACCTCTTCCCGTCGCCAGGCTTCGGAAGGATGCTCCGAAGCTAAAGAAGCTAAAGCAGCCTGCCGCGACCCTCTCCCGGCTGGAGAGGTGACGCGCGCCTATGGCAGGAGCCTCCATAGCCGAGCGTCACCTCTCCAGCCGGGAGAGCGCGCGCGGGGCTAAAGCAGCCCCCCGCGACCCTCTCCCAGGTGACGCGCGCCTATGGCAGGAGCCTCCATAGCCGAGCGTCACCTCTCCAGCCGGGAGAGCGCGCGCGGGGCTAAAGCAGCCCCCCGCGACCCTCTCCCAGGTGACGCGGGCCTATGGCAGGAGCCTCCATAGGCGCGCGTCACCTATCCAGCCGGGAGAGCGCGCGCAGGGCTAAAGCAGCCCCCCGCGACCCTCTCCCAGGTGACGCACGCCTATGTCAGGAGCCTCCATAGCCGAGCGTCACCTCTCCAACCGGGAGAGCGCGCGCGGGGCTAAAGAAACCCCCCGCGACCCTCTCCCGGCTGGAGATGTGACGCGCGCCTATGGCAGGAACCTCCATAGGCGCCCGTCACCTCTCCAGCCGGGAGAGCGCGCGCGGGGCTAAACCAGCCCTCCGCGACCCTCTCCCGGCTGGAGAAGTGACGCGCGCCTATGGCAGGAGCCTCCATAGGCGCCCGTCACCTCTCCAGCCGGGAGAGCGCGCGCGGGGCTAAACCAGCCCCCCGCGACCCTCTTCCAGCTGGAGAAGTGACGCGCGCCTATGGCAGGAACCTCCATAGGCGCCCGTCACCTCTCCAGCCGGGAGAGCGCGCGCGGGGCTAAACCAGCCCCCCGCGACCCTCTCCCAGGTGACGCGCGCCTATGGCAGGAGCCTCCATAGCCGAGCGTCACCTCTCCAGCTGGGAGAGCGCGCGCGTGGGGCTAAAGCAGCCCCCCGCGACCCTCTCCCAGGTGACGCGCGCCTATGGCAGGAGCCTCCATAGGTGCGCGTCACCTCTCCAACCGGGAGAGCGCGCGCGGGGCTAAAGAAACCCCCCGCGACCCTCTCCCGGCTGGAGATGTGACGCGCGCCTATGGCAGGAACCTCCATAGGCGCCCGTCACCTCTCCAGCCGGGAGAGCGCGCGCGGGGCTAAACCAGCCCCCCACGACCCTCTCCCGGCTGGAGAAGTGACGCGCGCCTATGGCAGGAGCCTCCATAGGCGCCCGTCACCTCTCCAGCCGGGAGAGCGCGCGCGGGGCTAAAGCAGCCCCCCGCGACCCTCTCCCAGGTGACGTGCGCCTATGGCAGGAGCCTCCATAGCCGAGCGTCACCTCTCCAGCCGGGAGAGCGCGCGCGGGGCTAAAGAAGCCATAGCCCCGCGACCCTCTCCCAGCTGGAGAAGTGACGCGTGACTATGGCAGCAGCCTCTGAAGGATGCACCGAAGCCTGGCGTGGGGGGGGGGGCGGAGAGACCTTCTCCCCGCGCCAGCCTTCGGATGGCTGTCCTGAAGACTTGGGGTGGGAGAAGGGTTTTCCTTCCCACTGCCAACATTCAGAATGCTGTTCTGAATGTTGGCGGTGGGGAGGAAAAACCCTCCTCCCATGCAAGCCCCGGGAACAGAGGGAAAGCGCTGCGCGCCTTCCCCTCTGTTCCCGTACCTGTGCTGAAGGCTTGCGGTGGGGAGAAAAGCCCTTCTCCGCACCGCCAGCCTGGCAAGCGGTTTCCCTAGGAACGCATTAATTGATTTTCAATGCATTCCTATGGGAAACCGTGCTTCGCAAGACGAAAAACTCGCAAGAAGAAAAAACTTGCGGAACGAATTAATTTCGTCTTGCGAGGCACCACTGTATTATTATTAAAAAGCTCCTTTATGCTAAACCAGAACATTGGTCCACTTAGCCCAGTATCATTTATTCTGACAGAGTCAGCTCTTTAAAGTTTCAAGCAAGGATCTTTCCCAGCTGTACTTCCTGAGACCATTCAACAGGACAAGCTGTGGATTAATCCTGAGGCCTTCTGCATTCAAAGCATATGCTCTACCTGGCAGAAATCCAAGATGAAACGGCTTCCAAATCAGGCCTTTTGAGCAGGTGTGATTGCAACTGGAAAGCTTATCATGCCTGGGAGAAGCAGCCCAACGGGATATCAATGCTAAGGCAGGGACCTCAGCCTAAAAGGAAGCAGCTTCTATAAAAGCCAATTCTAAAGGAGCTTTCTTGAGATGGCCTGAAAGAGATTCTAGTTTTGCAGAAGATGGCCTTAGCAAAGAACGAAGCTCTTTCCAGCTGGACTACACTATACCAGCTTCTTAATCCTGCCCACCGCATTAGGATTTGCACTATGCTGAAGTTATCTTTGGTAGGCAGAGGCGATTGGACGTTTGGTATCTGGGGGATACAGAAAGCAACTTCTGGTCCTGGGTTCAAACCTCGCCGCTAACACAACTGCATGAAGTAGCCTGAAGCCAGAGGGGAGGAAGCTTTTTCAGTCCAAGGTTGACAGGGGCAGGGGCTAGAGGTAAAAGTGGATGAAACAACAATTGCAATTTTTCTCATTTGCACAGCAGTCTGGTCTCTACATGCACCTGTCCATATACCACATCCATAAGAGTAAGAGGCATGATCAGAGTTCGTGGACAAAATTCAGCCAGGTAAACAAACTCGGGGGCAAAGCAGGGCTAGTGAGGGTTGTGGCTTGGGGAGAGGAGGTGTGGCTTAGGGAGAGGAGGTGTGGCTTAGGGAGAGGAGGTGTGGCTTGGGGAGAGGAGGTGTGGCTTAGGGAGAGGGGGTGTGGCTTGGGGAGAGGAGGTGTGGCTTAGGGAGAGGAGGAGGTGTGGCTTAGGGAGAAGGGGTGTGGCTTGGGGAGCGTTCCAAGGGCCAGTCACAGAGGCCTGGACTGCATTTGGCCTCTGGGCCAGAAGTTTCCCAGCTCCGTCTTAGGCAAACCACTGTTTCTCAGTCTCTGCCAGCTGTATGCAGAAGACAGCATGATTGGCTTATTTTACAAGGTGATTTAAATTACGCTTTTTGAGGAAGCGGGGTCTGCCCCATTAAAAATTTGGCTAAATTTGGCTAAACAAGTTGGCTCCACAAAAACGTGAAGCATTGCTCTTTGTGTATTGTTTATTTACCACTGTGTCCCTGTGCTTTGGATAAGCTAGCAATGCGCCTGATGCCGCAGCATCTCGTCAAATCCATTTTTTTCTTTGGGGACGCTTTCTGACAACGTAATCCCTCTGGGACCATTAGGACCGTAAAAGACACTGCATGTTGGGCTGGGAGGGGCGAACCAAACCCCAAACCCGCTCTCCTCATAAACACTGACTCTCTGATGTCAACCAAAGTCATAATAATGAACTGCTTGCCTTCCTCCCAGGCCACCCCTCTCCCCACCTTAAAGACCTTGCTTATTCGTCAAACGAAATCGTTTGCTGCGGCCTGGCTAGTTAGGGTGAGTTAATGAGTTTCTGCTGCGGCTTTTCACACAGAAGAACAAAACGGGAAAATAACGATGCGGCAATTCAGGAGAAATAGTTTTTAAAAATGATTAAATACCTTCATTTTCTATATTGTCAACTACGTTGTTGACAAGCTGTATGACAGTCACTATGGAAGCTTGTGGGAGAAGGAGAGCAGAAATAAAGGGAAGGGTAGCTTCATGTTAGTATTTATAACACACAACGTTCTAAGGCTACCAATATTAAATTCTCACAGCGCAGACAGGTTTGCTGGGGCCAGGGGTGGGTGGGGGAAGTCTATGGGCATGGGAAGGGGAGGCGGTGGCATTAATGAATTATGCAGCGGCTTGAAGGACATTTCAATTTCAGATAATCCCATACAATTCCACCACCCCCCCAACAGAAAAGCAAATGGGGATACATTCAAAGGCAGTACTTTCAGAAAGCTCATATGCAGTGATGAATATCAGTTCATAAATTCACCCTGGATTGTCCAGCAGATTCAATTAACCAGGACAGTATCTTGCCTACCTGACACTAATCTCTAATTAATCCTCGCTTAAAGGCCTCCAAAGGCAAGCTGCTATCCTCCTGGCGACCATTATCTTTTTAGGCAATCACAAGGATATGAGATGGTGTGAAAGTCTTTTGGTCTAAATCTTTTTTCCAATAAGAACGCTTTCACTTTATTATACTGTGCCTACGAGAACAAAGCCCTGGTGGGGGAAACGAACAAATCGAGCAGTCTTAATTAAAAGATCATCACCGAATTGCGTTCGTTGAAGGCAGGGCTAGCCAAAGTCATGCCCTGCAGATGTTGGGGGCTACCACTCCAATCAACCCTAGCTAGCATGGCCAATCACCATGGATGAGGAGAGTTGAGGGTCTAAAACATCAGGCTACCCTTGATTTAAGGAAATGGCTTAAAAAACCCAGACTCTGTTACAGATCAAAGATGGCCACTGGGGCATCAACGGAGGGGGGGCGCTGACAGCCGCCTCAAAAATTTTCAAGGAGAGGGCCGGGCTGCCTCAAAATTCTGCAGCGGCCACAAGTGCTTGCAGCACAACATGCTCACCTCACTCGCACGTGCATGAGTGACGTCAGCATGTTGCACGGCGTGCAAGCATGTTGCACGACATGTGCGCATGCTGCGCCGGTCTCCTTAATTGTGGGGGCAAGCCGGCATGCTTGATGGCCACACTTTCAGCATTGGGGCTGCCGCATTTTCACCAGCTATGTAGAAGAGGGACATTTCATCTCAGAAGCAACCAGGTGAAGAACTGATGGACTCCTTATCTGTGTCATATAGCAACATACGGAGCCAGAAAGCTGGAGTTCCACCTAGTCCAGTATTCCCTACTCGGACCAGAAGTGGCTCTCTTGGTTCTCAGATGGAGTTCTTTTCCAACGACTGAGACCTGATCCTTTAACCCAGTGATGGCCAAACGTGGCCCTCCAGCTGTTTTGGGACCACAACTCCTGTTATGTACTGAGTTGAATAGGATCCTAAAAGCAGCAGTCTGATTGGTCCTAGGATTCAGAATGCAGTAGTCTGATTGGTCCTAGAACAATAGGATTCAGAATGCAGCAGTCTGATTGGTCCTAGAACAATAGGATTCAGAATGCAGCAGTCTGATTGGTCCTAGAACAATAGAATCCAGAATGCAGCAGTGTGATTGGTCCACAGGAGCCACCCAATCCAGCTCCAGGTGGAAGTGAATCCGCAACCTGATTGGCCTACAGGAAAATCCTGGAATTAGCCAGTCACGTGGGGCCCACTGTGTAAATAATGTATATAAAGCAGACATTCTGGGAGAACTTCCATTCCTCCCCACCACTATGAGCTGAATAAAGAGCATGAAATCCACTCTCGACTCCGAGTATATTTCAACTCCCATCATCTCTAGCTCACAGGACCAGTGGTAAGGGGTGACGGGAACTGTAGTCCCAAAACAGCTGGAGGGCCAAGTTTGGCCATCAACACTTTAACCAAATGCAGAATTTTAAATCTTCTGCACGCAGAACGTGTGCTCTGCCACTGATCTGAATTTGTAAGATTTTAAAATATCCTCTCTTGTGATGATTATTTTGTAGTAGTTTGTTAAAAAAGTATTTATACCAGAATAGCCGTCTTCAGCATAGCAAACTTTAGGGAAAGCATGGACTGTTCTTTAAGTCAGTTACCTCTGACTTAAGTCAGTTACCTCTGGCACATAGCTGTGCACAACTGATCGTGCTCCTTTCCCCTTCAGCTAGAAGCCATTCCAGGAGAATCTGTACTACAGAGTGGACACACCATGCTATTCAGCATCTCAGTTATCCACATCACAAGAAAGTCTGGAAGAACACCAGTATACATATAATACACTCTTGGTGATAAGTGAGGGGGTTAAAATAGTATGCCATTACCATTATCATCGCCCGAGTCTGACTGGTAAGAACTGAGGGACTGGACTTCAGAGTTGCTGCCTTTATTGCTGCCTGAAAAACAGGTCACCTCTTCCACGTCATCAAGTCCTTTGCCTAGACATACAAAAGAAAGAAAGGAAAGGAAATTGGCGGGGCACAAATCTTTACTGAATCTAACAATGTGCAATCAAAGCTACTTCAGCTATTATTACTACTGTTGTTATATTCAATATATTTACGTCCTGCCCATTCCTGACAAGTTGGAATTCAAGGCGGTTTACAACATTTAAAATAATTAATTATAAGAAACAACCCAGCTTAAAAGATTTTAAAAATAAAAATCTCTCCTTCGTGCTCTTTTCACCCCCTTCTGCTGCCTTATCTGCTAAAGGTAAAGAGAAAGGCAGCGGGAATATTTGGAAGGCTGGTGGTGGCAGAATTCTGACATCCAGGTGTGGCCGAAAGGCTGGCAATTAATAACCCCCATTTTAGTGAAAAGGTTTGTGCATCTGCCTCACCACAAAAATGTGAGTTGTTCTCAGACCACTCCATGTGCAGCCGTAATGCACTCCCCGTTTATCCTTTCATGTTGTATATTTTTAGGTTGTGAAGGTGAGGGCAAGGATTGTGCGTTATTCTCTCTTGATCTGCAAGCCACTCTGACAGCCATGGTGGGAATAAATTAATGAGTGATTGAAGTAAGGAATAGGGGGCGGGGAGAGCCCTGTAATCCACATGTTTAGAAAGCTGGCATGAGTTTGACTTTGTGGTTTTGACTTTCTGTAAGTTATGCTAGAAAAATGCAACCTGTGCTGCAGGTTGTGTGACTCATGCAACACGTTGGCGATTAATCCACACAGAACAATAATTATACATACTTTATCACTGTCTACAACTTTATTAACATCTATCTACAACTCCACTAGCATCTCTCGGTATTGTGAATAACACCGAACTTACCTTTTGTTGGTATCTTCATGAACTTATCTAAAAGACTGAGTTGAGCATTTGAAAAATCTACTGAAACCAGACATTATAAGTTCATTTTAGGCTAGGTAGTTTGCAAGTCTATGCGGCTTTGTTTAATGTTTTGTATTTTTCTCAGAAGGTTGATAAAGTATGTACAATTATTGTTTTCTGTAAGTTATGGCTGCAAAATTTCTAGTGATAATTTTATTGCTTCTATCTTGTTCGCAAGCCACTTTTGAGGTTTCTTCCTACAATCGAAGCAGTATACAAAATCTCGCGAAACCAATAAATGTGCCTCTGCCTAAACCACTCACTTTCAGTGCTGTTTTCCCAGGTCTTCCTGATGGAGTCGCAGTCGGAACGGCATGGAGACACGGCAGGAAGGTTGGGGGCCACACTGCACACGACGACTCCTCGCCTGGCTGTCAGGATCCGAGGAGACTCTGGGTGGAACGTTGTCATCTCCTGATGCTCCACCCCGAGCCCATCGACGATCTTGTCCAAATTGTTCCTTGAGTCGCTCTGGAAGCAAGGGGTGTAGGCCATGGGCCTCACGGGGACCTGAGGTGGCCCCACCTCCTGATAAATATTGCGGCCATCCCCGCTGTTCCTCATGTTTTTGAACTGAATCCCGTTGCTCTTGTGAAGCAGAGCGGCAGTCGCCGGGTCTTGCACCAAGGTGATGTTGTTGCGGGAGTAGTTCTTCCTGAACACTTTCTTGCGGAACACTACGAAAAGGACGACCAACAGGAATATGACGAAAAGCACGACAGCGATGCCGATGAGCTCCTCTTTGCCCACGTAAGAATGGCCGGCTTGGATGTTTGGGACGACCACCGGTCTCAGCCCACAGTGTTGGCCCACATATCCCGGAGTGCAGTTGCATAGAAAGGACCCAAATATGTTGACGCAAGAGCCGCCATTTTCGCACTCTTCTCTCTCGCATTCGTTAATATCCTCCTCACACCTGAAGGGGGGGAAAAGTAGGGGTGAAATCAGAGGCCACAAGTGGCCCTCTAGGAGCAGCTCTGCCACCATCCATCAGCCCGGACACTGAGATCCAGCATAGAGGTCCTTCTGGCGGTTCCCTCCCTGTGAGAAGTGAGGTTACAGGACCTTCTCGGTAGTGGCGCCCGCCCTGTGGAATGCCCTCCCATTAGATGTCAAGGAGATAAACAACTATCTGACTTTTAGAAGACATTTGAAGGCAGCCCTGAATAGAGAAGTTTTTAATGTTTGATATTTTACCGTGGTAATGTCTTTCACTTGTTGGAAGTCGGACAACCCAGTCAGATTTGGACAACCGAGTCAGGATTATCCCCAGGCCACACACCACTCTGAGCCCATCTCCTTCCCCTTGATTGTTTTCTCATGTGCCCTCAGATCATTACTTTATACACAGAGCAAAGGGCTGAGTTAGGCTAGCCATCTTCAGATGATGTCCTCCTGAACTTTGGACTACAACTCCCATCTTCCCTGACCATTGGCTATCCTGATTGAGGACGATGGGAACTGTAGTCCAAATCATCTGGAGGGAACCGAGTTGGGGAAGGCTGAGTTAGGCCAATGGTCCTCATTGCGCTTACTTGCATGAACTCTTCAAGGTTTATTTCCCACTTTGCTACAAGATGATGTCGTTTACCGGCGATGCTGGACCCGTAACCTAGGTGCATAGTACCGCATGACCTCCAACACCTCTCCAGGCAGCACAAGCATCAAACTTACGTCAATCCCGTTAACCCGCTCTTGCAGTTGCAGATGAAAGCGTTGCCAATGGGATCGCACGAGCCTCCGTTGCGACAAGGATTTGGAAAGCAGGCAGTGATCTCTGACTCGCAGTTTCGCCCGGTGAACTGAGAGAGACAACTGCACTGGTAACCTAAGGTGTTTAAAAACAAACAAACACACAAATCAAAGATTGCTCTCCAAACATGATACAGTACAGTTTCCCTATTAGCATTCGTAAATGGGGCTTTATTTCCCCCTAGTGGCTGGTTTAGGAATACGGCTCGTTTTGGAGCCATAAAAATCTACAGCTTTCAGTTGCAAGGTCTGAGGAACAACTTCCCGTATTACATTGTTTAAGCATAATCTCTATTTAAGCAAAACGTCGTGTCTGAATGACCTTAGGCGACAACGGTTTTAGAGATCCCATGTTGATCGCAATCTTTTTTTAACAAAGAGGTTGAAGGACATTTAAGCTTAATATAAAAGAAGACCAATGGGGTGAGTTTTTTTAATAAAAAACCCCAGTGTTTTCTTTAACACTATCACAGAGTAGCCATTCTTATGGATAATAGCTTACCCATCTTATTGCAATGCTCTTTCTCCACAAGAGGAGTGGGGAACTTGCAGCCCCCCATGTATTGCTGGATTCCAGCTCCCATCAGCCTCCGCGAACCTGGTAAATGGTCAGGAATGATGGGAGTTGTGGGTCAACAACACTTGTAGGGCCACAGGTTACCTGTACCTGTTCTATAACACGCCTGTTTAAGTTGTGATCTTCTCCCTAAGCTGAATGCTGTTTTTGCAGGTCTCGATTTAATGTTCTGGTGAGCCATGTATGGGAGGGGTGGGCTATATTTGGCTTAGTAAGGGTCACAAGCTGGGTCCAGCAGATGAACTGGGGGATTCTCAAAAGCAATTCCAAGAATGCCTTTCAGTTTGGAATGTGCTGCTTGATATTGCTGTTGGTGGAAGGTAAAAAGCAAGGGAGAACCAGTTTAAAATTGAATGCAAATTCTAGTCGACGCACACGCTGAATTTCGCAGCTACGTGAAATACAGGAGCTGATTTCATCATCATGTGTGAATGAAAAGTGAGAGAAGCTTCAGTGGCCGCAAACAAGTGCCATCAACTACTAGCACAGCTGTTTCTGTATTTGGCAGGTGGTGTGTTTTTGCAATGTACAAAAAGGATATTGTGCGGAATGTTAAATGCCACCTGCAACTTTTCTGCCAATGGGTGATATCTCGGTAAGTCATACTCAGAGTAAACCCATTGGAACCAATGGACGTAATCGCACAATGTCCAAAATATTTTCCCATGGCAAAAATAAGCACTGCCAATCCATCAGTAGAAACAGGTTAATTTGACTGAAGCCAATGCATAAATGACTATCCCTTCAATGTGGTTTCAAGAGATATTTCATCTTTTATCTCTCAAACTGCACAGAAGCTGATGAAGTTACAACAGTGTCTTACACAGGAATAACAAACAGGTCTTGATTCAGTTATTTCATCCTTTCTGCTGAAAACAAATGTACTTAAGGGCTTAAATCCACAAACCAATTAGATGGAGAACTCTGAATTAAGTATCCTTTAATTCCATCAAGCAACCAAATACAATGCTTTGGTTCAAATCTTTTCTGAAAGGTAAACAGGGGCTTCCTTTCTGAAGTGGAATGAATGAATACCTTTGCTTCCTGCGTGCTATTTTGGGGCTGATTCATACATGACATTATTTATTTGTTTGCACCTGAGATGTACACTTGACCAGATGAAGCGTGAACAACAAGAGAAGAGAAGAAACTTGTGTTTACAGATATGTGTACTTGCATTAGGGGGCAGCGGAGTTTTAGAAATTTGACGTTTCTGAATTCTGATATAAACTGATATGTGAACCTGAGCTTAGATATCCATTGGCTGTTGGATTTATTTATTTTTAATGTTCCAACAAAATTCTCATCTAAAAAAAAAAAGCATGAAAATGATGTTTAAAAACAAATGCTTGGAATCACGGAATCATAGAGTTGGAAAGGGACCGCCAGGGATCATCTAGTCCAGCCCCCTTGCCATGTAGGAATCTCAGCTCAAGCATCCCTGGCACATGGCCATCCAACCTCTGCTTAAAAACCTCCAAGGAAGGAGAGTGGGCTTTTCAAAAATAAATAAATAAATGCATTATTCTGAGGGAAAACCTGTTTTTATTTTTGCCCCTCTAAATCTAACATTTTACACGAGGGACTTTTAAAAGCAACAAGTGGAAATGGGGACAGAACAGACTATGGGACTCACTTCCAGAGAGGAGACTGTGATCGTCACCACCCTGGGTGGCTTTATAGAGGGCTGGCCAAATTCAGGGGCAGGGTGGGCTTTCAATGGCTACTAGCACAATGGCCATGTTTTGCCTCTACTGTCAGAGACAATGTGCCTCTGGATACCCCAGTTGCTGGGGATTGCAGGTGGGCAGAGTGCTCCTGTGCTCCTGTCCTGCTGGAAAACTTCCCACATGCATCTGGCTGGCCAGACAGAACAGGATGCTGGACTAGGCAGGCCATTGGCCTGATCTGTCAGGCTCCTCTTGTGACATGTGTTATAAGAATTTTAAGGTCTTAGATATATAATAAATGTTCATAAATGTACCAAGCAAACACGTATATAAATATATAAACCACATGTCTGGAGCAGCACAGGAAGACAGTCCTGAAACCATTCTGACTCTCAAGCTGACCAAATGTTTCTCTGCAAAGGAGGGAGGAGGTGAAAAAACCTTCCTTGTTACAGGAATTTAGTGAGAAATGGCCAGACTACCAGGAAAGGCAATCAGATAAGGCATTATCAGACAACATGGCAGACAGGAAAAACAACAACACTCAAATTTCTGTTGTAGACCACCTTTTCTGTGATGTAGGTATGATGTTTGTGGGGGGTGGTCTTGGGTTACACCCCTTCTGTGATGAATGTATGATGTATGGAGGGGTGGTCTTGAGCTCCAGGGCAGGGAATTTAAAATGTCTATATAAGGGCAGGCACACTTTTGTTCTGGGTCCTCCTCTGTGTGAGGGGAGCACCCTGTTGCAACAGCTTTAATAAAGATCAGGCTTACTAGCTGCTTTGCTTCTCAATATTCTCTGGTTGGCCTCTGTTATTTTCTCCTACCAATAGGGAACACACGTAAGGACTCTATACTGTGGTACCTTGGATTACAGACGCTTCAGGTTACAGACGCTTCAGGTTACAGACTCCAGTAGCCCAGAAATAGTATCTCGGGTTAAGAACTTTGCTTCAGGATGAGAACAGAAATTGTGTGGCGCCGGCGCAGCAGCAGCGGGAGACCCCATTGGCTAAAGTGGTACCTCAGGTTAAGAACAGTTTCAGGTTAAGAACGGACCTCCAGAATGAATTAAGTTCTTAACCCGAGGTACCACTGTATGGGCTTATTGGATACCCCTTAAGGGAAAAAGGGCAGATTTTGTTAACAACACATGTCCCTGGTTCACAGTGACTGAGTAATGTGCGGAAAGGCCTTCAGTCCCGTTCTACCGTGGCTCCCGCCAGCATCTCTTCCGGCAAACACAATCCTCTGCCACACACGGCTGCAGTTTGAGGGCATCTGACAAAGTGCAGAGACTTTGCACCCAGCCCCATTTAATTACGTATGCTCTTTTTAATGTGCAGAGGATCTCTTGGGCTAACGAATTTATTTTGCCTTGGAACTGGGGGCGGGAGAGGAAAGGAAAAAAAGAGTGGCCACATCGATGTCACAGCAGATTGCTTTATAGATTGGCTGGCGCATAGTTAGGGCCCATTGCTTTAGAATTATGGCACCATAACAATCCTTTATTTACATATACTGCTGAGACAGTGAAAAAAACAACCCCAAGCAAATAGATTTCCTAACGAGAGAAAAAGAGAGCGAGCCTGCATGCTGAAATATCCCCCCAGGGTGTTCGCTTTCCAGCGGCAGCAGCAGCAACAACGAACGCATGGAGGCCTAAGTAGCTCTGGAGCAGAGAATGGAGAGGCAAACCATTTCACCGCAGAGCTGTTTATATGCCTCTCATAATAAAATGAACCCATCATTTGGAGATGTATTCACGCAGCCCATTCCCCTCCCAGCAGCCAATGTAAAATTTGAAATATCTAACTCTGCCTGGGGGGGAGGACAGAAGGGGGAAATTATCCTAAAGTGATTTGTTAGAAAGGTTTCAATTTGCACATCACGCTATTTGCTGACTGGTCGTGTAAATAGACTCCAGCGAAATCAATAGGAAGAGGAGCCTGGTTTCCTCCTTTTACTTAGTTTATTCATGCGGCGAACGCTTGACCTAATTTATTATACGCCGTCCAAGTTAAAGTTAGGCATTTGTTTTATCCTCACTCCCCAGGGACGTAAATAATCTTGTTTAGCAATTTTCTTGAAAGCTTCTACATCTTTTGAATTATTACCCTTTTTTCCTTGCTGGGTCCTGCTACGTGCTCTCTTTCCACAACCTCCTATTTGCAGATAAAGAGCCATTAAACATACAAGTTAGCCCCAACATGTGCCCTGATGCCTCATATTAAATTCCAAGCCTGCTGTCTTTACTTGTTTAATGTGCTAAAGCTTTTACATTCACTACCTTTCAGCTCTCTGGGCACCATCTTCAGTTCAGCTGACGTGCCCTCAAGCTCACTCCCCGCTAAACCAAAGCAAACGAGAAAGGAGTCAGTGTTAATATTCGTACCGCACAGGGATTTTCTGAACCAAACGGGGAAGAACTACTGAGATTGGGAATCAGGGTCATGCAGGACGGCTACTGAGCAGCGTCCTGGCATTGCTGAAGTGTCCCCTGAACCTCCATAGTATATGATAGCTCAGTTGGTTGAAGCATGGTGCTGATGATACCAAGGTTGCAGGTTCGATCCCCAATAAGGGGCAGCTGCGTATTCCTGCATTGCAACTCTGTGATTCTATGGTTTCCTGCATCCCTGTGTGGGAGAAGTGTCCTGTGTACAGCAACAGTCTGAGAAGGGTACTGGACGGGTCATGGGAGAGAAAATGCAGGTCATGGGAAATTCAAATTCAGTTCCTGGGTGGTTCAGGACGCGAATGCCCTCTCGCGGGCCAAGACTCAGGACTAATCTGGACATTGCAACAAATTGCATATTTTGCGTGCCATGTCTAGGCAAAGCATTGGTGTTGTAATATCTGAAGAGCAACTCCTCCTAATAGGGAACCCAAGTGGTGAGTGCCAACAGAATTGGAGCCAATACAAGATGACTGAGAAGGAAGAAGGAGGCATCAAAGGGAACCCCAACATTTGCAACAGTAGAAAACTAAGGGGAAACTCCTCCTTCCCCAGTAGCTGAATGAGGACTGCTCATGTTCAATAGCTGTGTAATGTTGAGTGAAAGCTGGAGGAGAAAAAATGATGGGGAATTTGGAAGTGATTCCGTGCTTTAGTTTCCTGCATCGTACTCATATCCTGCAGGACAGCACAGTTGGCTGCCTGGAACCCTGAAGAGGAGCACTCTCCTCTTAGAGAGGAAGATAGGCAGCCATGTTTTGTTGCAGGTCCCAGGTGTATAAGTGAGATGAGCAACATTCAGTTGCACATCCAGCTTGTGAATCTTATCTACGCAAGTTTCCCTTTGTGATATTGCGGCAGACGACAAACTGGGAATGCGAAACAGTTGCACCTGTCGCTGTGCCCCTGCAGACACACCTTAGGCTCGCACGAGGATGCATCAGCACAGTGGAATCCTGAATGCTTGGGCTTGCACTGCAGCCTAAAGCAAGAATCGTGGAATTGCAGAGTTGGAAGGGACCCTGGCGGTCTTCTAGTCCAACCCCCTGCAATGCAGGAATCTCAGAGAAATGCAGAAGCTCAGAAGGCATTCTCAGACAAAGAAATAATAAGCATATGTATGCATGTAGGTGTGTGTGTATATATTTCTGTGATTAACAAAACAGAGATTTTATTTTTGTGGCAAAACATTTCCGCCTTCATCAGTGTGTGTGTTTCTTTTTTAATCAGAGCAGCTGACGAAGGTGGAAATGGAAACGTTTTGCCATATAAATATCTGTTTTGTTAATCACAGTAATGTACGTATATATTACTTTAGTGATGAACCAAATCCCCAGAGGGATCAAGAGCAAGTTTGTGTGAAGAGCTGTTTGATGCTTAGCTCTCTATCTCTCTATTTGTGGGGCAATCCTATCTCAGGGATGTTTTTGATTGGGACAAGGGAGCTATTGGGTCTGTCTGAGGTCACGATTCTATGGACCAGTTCACATTTAAAGTGACCCGCAAACAGCAGCCAGGCAGAGGAAGGTCATTTGTAAGAATTGTACATATACAGTGGTACCTCTGGTTAAGAACTTAATTCGTTCTGGAGGTCCCTTCTTAACCAGAAACTGTTCTTAACCTGAGGTACCACTTTAGCTAATGGGGCCTCTCGCTGCTGCTGCACCACTGGTGCACGATTTCTGCTCTCATCCTGAAGTAAAGTTCTCAACCCGAGGTACTACTTCCTGGCTAGCGGAGTCTGTAACCTGAAGCGTTTGTAACCCAAGGTACCACTGTACCTCCACTTCTTCCGGGATACAGTGGACCCTCTGGATATGGATTTAATTTGTTCTGGGGGTCCGTGAGCACCCTGAAAAATCTGTAACCAGAGGCACCGCTTCTGTGCATGGTGTGATAGAGCACTTCTGTGCATGCGCGTGGCACGCAGAGCGCTTCTGGATATGCGGCGAAACCCAAAAAATACTTCTGGGTTTGCCACTTTCGCAACCCGGAGATTACGTATCCAGAGAGGTACGTAACCAGAGAGTCCACTGTATATGTTTGCAGCAGCTAGATGTGGCACTTCCATTTATTCGGTCTTACGAAGGCCTCCTTTGCTGCTACAAACTCAGTTGTGACCCAGCCTACTCGGCTCCAGAAATGCTTCCACACAGCCTGCCATATTGGCCAAACCACCCGACAATACTATTGATCAGAGCTGGAAGGGACGCAGCAAGATGTTGCTAATTGAAATGAGGCAGATTATTAAGCTGGTAGTTCTGTGCCAAGAAGGAAGCAGAGGCTGTTTCCAACCCATTCCTTAGTTCAACAAAACCTCTTTCTCTCTCAACGCCGCCCCCCCCCCAAACGGTGACTGCTGGCATGAGAAACTTAAAGCTCAACTCATCTCCCTCCCCGCCACCTCCGGAAATGTAAGGCTGAATGCAAGATATTCACCACCAGATGGCACACTCAGACAAGTCCCTCCATTCTGGCAAGGGCTCCTCTCGCAGGCGTCCGGATACAGCACACAGCCCAGCTTCAGCTCTGTAAGGCCGACCACTTCTGCAAAGCTGCTGCGCTTGTTCTGCAGCGGCAGCTCGTTGTTGTTGAGGACGACGGAGTCCAAGCAGCCCTGGAATCCGCTCGAGACCTGCGTGGCTCTCTTGTCCGTCAGGCTCCGGACGTTGTCCACCTGCACCTGGGCGCCGAAGTAAACTGAGCTGTCAGTGCTGAGCGTCTGGAAGTAGAGCGGGGCTTTGCGGCGCTCCACATAGCTGTCGTCGAGCGACAGGCTGGTGAAATTCCGGTTCAGCTCCAGGAAGACCGAGTGCCAGCTCCCATCATTAACAGCTCTGCCGGAAATCCCCAAGATGCCCGGGCCGGTTCCGCAGTCCAACTGGAACCACAGTTTGCCATCCACGATCTGCAATGGGAAAGTGGAAATGTCAGGTCAATGAAGGACTGCATGCCCTTAGATTTGTTCCGTAATGCAATGTGGTCAGCATCAGCAGTGTGCGCAAACATTCTGCTGTTATTGATCGCAGCAGGATGGTGGTTACATTTAAGTGACCTGCAAAGCACAGGCATCTCTCCACTTACATATGTACTGCTGGGAAATAAATAAACAGGTTCACACCTGGAAATGGTGAGAGAGAGCTAGAGGGTCCTTGTGGCTCATGAGGAGACCCTCCATGGAGCCCAAAGAGGATGTCAGTGAGGGTGGAGGAAGCTCCAAACAGACCGGAGGTGCAGCAGGGCTTTGTTTGCGTTGCTCAGCCTAACAGCTGACGTGCGGGGTAGTGCAGCAGCAAGAGTCACTTTCCCACACGTCATCTAGCCTCTTGCTGGCCCGAGCTTCAATTCTAGTTGTGGATATTTTGGGAAACAGTACTTTTTGTATTGACTGGAGAGAGAGCGGCAGAGAGGCTGTTTAAAGGGTTCTCCCCACTTTACGCAATTTCACTTATGTGTGTGGGGGCCTGGAACGTAACTCCCAAATTAGGGGGGGGGTGCACCTGCATAGGGATTCTGCACCAGCAACTTCTGTGCGTTAGGTTGCTTAGGGATATATTCACATGTTCTGATCGGTGCAGGACTATCTACCGTTGAAGACTCCATTGCCATGACAATTTATTTTTAGCAGTTGACTTTATAACACCATCTCTGCACTTCCTGAGCTGAAGAAGCCTTCAACGCCCCTTTGCCTTTGTTTGCATGTCTCTGCTATCTGACTCATCTTTGCCTCTATACAACAGGGCAAACCCTATTGCTCTTAGAACATGGTTTTTTTGCTTGCTTCCAGTCTTACTCCTGCTTCTGCTGCAACTTCCTAGTGTCTCTCTCAGTCACTCCTATTGCTTCTTCTCACTCTGCTAATAACCAGAATAACCAGAGTTGGCCTCTGCCCGTTTACAGTACATTGCATTCGATTGTGAATGGACTGCAATATTGCAATGACAGCGGGAAGCAGCTGCTGGCAAATGTCCTAAAAATGACCTAACCAAATGGTTTGTGACTAGTGATGGGCAAGCCACCCATGGACTGCCTGAGAGACAACCTTTGCAGAACAACAAACCCCTGTGTTGCAAATTTAACACAACAAGCAATGCAAGCAACACGAAGACCAATATACTAGATAGCACTGCAATTCTTATTGCATAATATACATGATTTAGTACAACAAAAACAAAATGTGTACACTTGTAAATTCTCTAATATATTTGAAATCAAATGAACACAGGTCTGTCAATCTTTGAAAGTCCGTAGAAGTATAATAAGTCTATGGTTGAAACAAAGTAATAGATGCTATCCTGTAGGCTAAGCGGTAAAACTTTTTTTTGGCGTTCATGGTGCCGAAGTAGTGAGTGGTTACATATTCTCATGACCACTGCTCCTTGTGCATTTTTCTAATTTATGGGTTGTGCTGAAGACGATTCCAGCAAAACAGTGAGATTATCCGGGATCACTGTCCAATGTTGTTATTCACTTACTACTTTGGCACCATGAAGCAACCTTAGCTGTCCCCGTCCCACATGTCCCGTCCCACCGCACAAGTTGGGAAATGGGTCTAGTTCCTCCTAGATCCCTTGCCCTCAACTGACAGCTTTTGCAAGGTCAAGGGTGGTCTAGGCAGTCCTTCTCCTGGCTCTGCAAAAGTTTTGTTTTAGGAGGTTTCAGTTTGGAAAGTGGGATGGTGATGAGCCAAGGATTCTTCTAGAGCTTGAATTTTAATCCTATCGGAAGAAGAATTCTTGGGGGTTTGCAATGCTTGTCTCTTCCTTGAGGTGAGAATTACTAGCCCGGGCTATGATATCTGGGGCCAAGTGTGGCATAATTCAATGCCATATCTGGTGGTAACCTATCTGTAGTCATAATAAACAAGAAAGAAAGAGATGTACAAGCCCGGTTCTGATACTTATTGGACGAGTGCTGCTATCTGTGTGGAAGAGGACCAGCTATGCCTCCCTCCTTTCCACCACATACATAACGTAACATGAGTGACGGGGTCCTCATGGCAGCCCATGTACCATGTACAGTTGTACCATTTCTGTTGTCCTTTCTTCCCTTTTTTGACAGTGTGTTTAGGATTTTGTATGGAGCAGCTTGCAATGTGTCATGTATTCCAACCCTTTTAAGCTTATGGGCCCATTTGGATTTGTGACTGAGTGCTGTCAGTTCACATCCACCCACTCCTGGTTCAGCACCCCACTGTAAAGACATGAAAAGGAAAGGTACACAGTGTATGTCACATTCCCAATGGGTCAGATCTAGTAGAATTAACCTGAGCCTTTGTCGGGCAGATAGAGGTGAAAAAGGAAGTGGGATAGAGTGTCGCTTTTTCCAACTTCCTCTTTCAGATCTATGTACTTCTCAAGGGAGAAAAAGGCAATTGCTGTCATCGCCTTGTGACCTTGTGACCAAGGGTACTGTGTGTGTGGAGGAGACTAAAAGGTTTTGTGGGTGCAAAGAGCATATCTCAAGAGCATGGCAGAAGTGAGGGTGGGTATGCCCTTTCTCCTCCATCACAGAATTTGCAGTACCTGCCCAAAAAGCATGTCAAGTAGACTTCAGATTCCATCTTAGGAGAGGAAAAATGAGGTTGAGCCTACATATGTGACGCTCCCACACAGGTGGCAGCCGAGGACAAACCCAAAAGCAAGCAGACAAAGAGGGACTTGAGGCTTTGCTGAATGCCGAGGGAACAGATTGCAACCTGTACGCGAAGAAGCACATCAGCTGCCTTTCCACCTGGCCATTATGCAAATCCACCAGAACCCTCTGTGTTTCCATGTCCTCTTCTTCCCTTACCATCCCTTCCCTTTTATGCCACATCTGCTAGATTGTAAACCGTTCTGGCAGCCATTCTGCCTATTTCATCCTTCGCGCAGTACAAAATAGAATTTTTAAGTGCTTCATAAATAAGAAGAATGAGGAAAGCCTGTGGCAGGTTCAAGGGTGGACGGCAGTGCTGAGGACACCACCGTTCCTGGCCAGGATAGCTGTCTGCCGATGCAACTCGCAGCCTGGAGACAGTTTATGGTCCTTAAGAGCAGCAAAGGCAGTATGAGAGAGACACCGTTTCCTGTGATGGTGATGTTGTGCCTCCCTTCAAGCAGGCTGGCAGAGTTTTGAAGCTCCTACCAAATCTTGAAATGCAGGTTTCATTAGACTGGGGAGGAACACACATACCACAGGTGCCAACAACAGTATCATTCCCTTCTCAACACTGCTGTTGTCTCTAGCCACAGTTGCAAGAAAGCCATTTAAGAACGCAAGCGAGCAAGAAGAGCTTGGCTAGATCAGAACAAAAGCCTATCTAGTCCAGCATCTTGTTCTCACAGTGACCAACCAGATGGGAAGTCTTTAAATAGGACCCAAATACAGCAGTGATGACCAGCAACTGGTATTCAGCTGCTGTGGTTCTCAGCACCTGGTACTCACACAACTGCCTGCAACACAACCTGCAACACAACCACCAAAGCTAGTGGCCACTAACAACCTTTTCCTCCATGAATTTGTCAAATCCTCCCTGAGAGCCATTCAAGTCCGTCGTTTTCTTTTGGGACCGCTGTATGCAGGAAAAGGGATGAATACTGCCTCCCCCGTACCACCCTCCCAATCCTGACCACCCCTACAATTTAGTGGGAAAAGGGCGTAGGGGAAAACAACAACAATGGCAGTGTAATTCTTTCAGCAAAGGTAATGGTTAAAATGAATCCTAGGGAGGAGAAACAGACCACAGAAAAGGAAATAGCTAGGACATTCTATGGAAGTCATAGCCAGACAGAACAGCAGCGGGCTGCGCACAACTGGGGAAAATACAAAGCTTTTTTTTTTTTTAATCAAATTCTGAAAGCTGAAAAAGGAAGCCACAAGAGAGAGACGCTGATGATGTTTTGCAGCTGCCATGTAAAATGCTAACCCCACAGGCTTAGTGAGCACAGCAACTCTTCATGGCAGAACTTGCCCCAATGAGGCAGTTGTGGGGGCTGAAGGTCCCCGCCTTCCCACAGTTGCCTAAGCCTCCTCCTCCTCTGGGTCCTTCCCAAGCAATCTGAGACTATGCTGGGGTGCCTGTCTCTGCACCTCCCTCTTCATACCTCTTCTGGTCCTTGGGGACTGGGGGAGAAGAGCGTGTTGAAGCAGGAGAGGGCTACACCTTGGCTTTTCACGAGCCTGACTCGTCTCTGTCTCTTGGCCCTCCTCCTCCTCCTCTCCAGCCTCTTCTGCCTCTGAGCCTGGACTGCTATCTGCCCCAGACTCTTCCTGCTCACTAAACCCTGTAACCTCTTCAGCTTCTGACACCTCTTCTTCCCAGTCTTCTCCCTCTGACCACTCACCATCGTCCCACCACCACTCCTCTGCATCCAGCCAGTCCATGACATCACGTCACTCACCTGCTTTCCTCTAGAGATTCAACCTGGATAGAATATGCCCTTGAAATGTAGCAATACGTCTTGGCTGCCTAGACGGAGGGGGTGGTATGTCTGGCTGCAGCTGCTGGGGCGATAGCTACTATATGGGCACCAGAAAGCTGGGGGAAGTTCCCCTCCCCTGATATACCTAGATGTGCATCCACATAAAACCTCATTATCCTGACCAAGCAGGAGAGTATGAAGCAACCACTAAGGGGATATACAAATTGGCATGCTTGAACAGCTTCCCCAAATAAGCAAAGCGAGATGAATGGGCATCGTATATCATTTTAGAATATTAGCCTGGATAAGGTGCTTGGATGTCATCCATTTCTGCATATCAACACAGGCAATGAAACCATCAAACGGTCCTTTTGGGACCTCCCTAGACTTGCAAAGTCCATCTGCAGTCACAGCTCATGAATACAAAATGGTGCCTGCCCATCCATCCAGGGGAATATTTAGTTAGTGGGATTGCATTTCAGGTTCATTTGGGCGAAATGTTAGGTTTAATTAAAATATTACTTTCTCCAGCTCCTGCTGCACCTGGGATCACATCCAAGTCTTCTTGTAGCTGAAGCAATGGGAGTTTCAGGCGGCCCTTGACGGGGGTAACGTATGGCAGCCTCACACTTTTCAGTATTGAATTTTACTCAATGAGGCCACATATACATTACCAAGTGCCTCTGATGGCAAGGACAGAGAAACAGAGATTTCTTTTGTGTGCATTCTGACTCCCACATGAAAACACAGGTTCTGCTAGCCCTGCACTGTTGGATGCAGATCAAGAGTTCTGAAGGCGGCAAGGACAGAGTTCTGTGCAAATGGGCTCTCAGAATTGCTCCACTGTGCTTTTTAGGTAGAAAAACTGGGGCAGAAGGGAGAGGCATTTCACTGAACTAGATTAACTGCAACTAATCCATCTGCAGGAATATGGGACTGGTCTGATCACATGTAAAAAGGGAGGTGGGAATTATGACTTCAATAGCAAAAAGGAGTGAAATGCTCTTTTCCTTGCAGTTCCCCAACACTATTATTATTATTGTTGTTATTATTATAGCAAGAATAATAATAAAAATATTATTTATATGCTGCCCACCTGACTGCATTGGGCAAGCCAGTGGGCGGCTTCCGACGAAATAAATATTAATAACACATTAAGACATCAAAAGCTTTCCTATACAGTCGTGCCTTGGTAGTCAAACGGAATCCATTCCTGAAGTCTGTTCGACTTCTAAAACGTTCCGGAAACAAAACCGCAGCTTCTGATTGGCTGCAGGAAGCTCCTGCAGCCAATCGGAAGCTGCGCTGGACGTTCGGCTTCCGAAAATCAGTTGAAAACCAGAACACTCACTTTGCGTTTCGATCGTTTGCGAGCCACAAAGCGTTCGAGATCCAAGGTATGACTGTACAGGGCTGCCTTCAGATGTCTTCTAAAACTCAAATAGCTGTTTATTTCCTTGACATTTGATGGGTGTTCCACAGGGTGGGCACCACTACCGAGAAGGCCCTGTCCTGGGCATCCAGTTTTTTGGGGCTGTGCTCTCACGTGGGTCATGTGAGCTCAGTTAGTTTGAGCATGGTGTTGATAAAGCCATGGTTGATCTGCGTATGGGCGCATTGCAGGTAGTTGGACTAGATGATCCATGGGGTCCTTTCCAATATATATATATATATATATATATATATATATATATATATATATGCAGGTTTTGGTGTCCTCGGGTGTCTTCCCGTGTAAAAGTTGGGGTGTCTAGGCGACGTTTCGACGAGGTCTCACTCGTCATCTTCAGGCTGGTGCTTTCGGCTTCTTGTTACTGGAACAGAGCAGGATCTCAGTGTTTGAGTTCCTATAAATACTGTTGAGGGGGTGTGGTGTATAGCCTCCAATGTTCTGGGCAGAGAGGAAGTTCCCAGGTTAGTGTGCCTTTTCTTCTTTTGTTCCTTAATTACTTGAGGGATATCTTGAGTGATTTCTTGAGTGATATCCTGAGTACCACTTAGGTGGGTCATTAGGTGTGGATTAGTTGCTAAAGCCTTCGTGTCTTGACCTCTTGAACTTTGTGAAGAGTTTTTCTGAGAAGATGGCTGTACTGCAATTAGTTGTGCTCTGGCTTGGCTTCGTGTATAGGGGCGAGCTGTGGTTTTGTGTCCTGTGCCAGCCAGATCTGTGTAGGGATTGCAGGGGGGTGCAGCATCCGGAGGTGCCACCATGGTTTGGCTACTGGATGGTGTCTGTAATTTATCTGTGGAGAGGGTCTGGGTTTGGGTCTGGTGTGGTTGATTGGTGATGGCGTTCTGTGTGCCTCTGGATCTGGTGTCGGTTTTTGTGGGGAGGGCTAATTTCCAGATGTCTGGCAGGCGGGATGTGTCGTCACGCTTGTTCATGTTGTGAGGGTGTTTCTCTATCTCGATGGCTTCCATGATTATTCTCTTGTGGTGATGTTCCATGTTAGAGAGCAATTTGGAATCTGCAAAATTAATTTCGTGTCCTGTTTCTTTCATGTGTTGGAAAAGAGAGGAAGTTTTTTCTTCTTTTTTGACGGCATTCTTGTGTTCTGCGATACGTGCATTTATTCGTCTGTTTGTTTGTCCAATGTACGTGGCTGGGCAGACTTTGCAGGGTATTTCATAGACCCCTTGGTTTTCCAACTGGATTTTATCCTTGGGGTTTCTGAGATAAAACTGGATAAAATCCAGTTGGAAAACCAAGGGGTCTATGAAATACCCTGCAAAGTCTGCCCAGCCACGTACATTGGACAAACAAACAGACGAATAAATGCACGTATCGCAGAACACAAGAATGCCGTCAAAAAAGAAGAAAAAACTTCCTCTCTTTTCCAACACATGAAAGAAACAGGACACGAAATTAATTTTGCAGATTCCAAATTGCTCTCTAACATGGAACATCACCACAAGAGAATAATCATGGAAGCCATCGAGATAGAGAAACACCCTCACAACATGAACAAGCGTGACGACACATCCCGCCTGCCAGACATCTGGAAATTAGCCCTCCCCACAAAAACCGACACCAGATCCAGAGGCACACAGAACGCCATCACCAATCAACCACACCAGACCCAAACCCAGACCCTCTCCACAGATAAATTACAGACACCATCCAGTAGCCAAACCATGGTGGCACCTCCGGATGCTGCACCCCCCTGCAATCCCTACACAGATCTGGCTGGCACAGGACACAAAACCACAGCTCGCCCCTATACACGAAGCCAAGCCAGAGCACAACTAATTGCAGTACAGCCATCTTCTCAGAAAAACTCTTCACAAAGTTCAAGAGGTCAAGACACGAAGGCTTTAGCAACTAATCCACACCTAATGACCCACCTAAGTGGTACTCAGGATATCACTCAAGAAATCACTCAAGATATCCCTCAAGTAATTAAGGAACAAAAGAAGAAAAGGCACACTAACCTGGGAACTTCCTCTCTGCCCAGAACATTGGAGGCTATACACCACACCCCCTCAACAGTATTTATAGGAACTCAAACACTGAGATCCTGCTCTGTTCCAGTAACAAGAAGCCGAAAGCACCAGCCTGAAGATGACGAGTGAGACCTCGTCGAAACGTCGCCTAGACACCCCAACTTTTACACGGGAAGACACCCGAGGACACCAAAACCTGCATTCCTGTACCCGTGAAAATCTACGAAAGCATATATATATATATATATATATATATATATATATATATATAAATTTTGAAATAAGACTTGGGAGATTAGGCTACTGCTTGCCAAAGGGAGGGAAAAAGTTAATTAAGGAAGATGGACGGCTAACAAGGCTGATAAGGCAGACTATTTTTTTATCACTCACTCTTGAGAGGGCCCAGAATACATGCACCCCATTTTTGCGCTGGGACATGTTGGGAGGGTATGGTGGCACCATTGGCATAACAAAAACTGCAGCAGAGATATCAACCTTTTCAAAAGTTCATGGCTTGGCTTTTGAAAAGCAGGGGGTCCACAGCTAATTAGGAATCGCTGCCATAGGTGATCAAACCTCGGGGAAGGGATGTAGCTCAGTGGTAGGGTATCTGGTTGCCTTGTATAGGGTCCCAGGTTCAATCCCCAGGTCTTCTGTCAATCCTTGAAAAGCTTCTGCCAATCAGTGTGGACAATACTGACCTAGGTGGACTGATGGTGCTTCCTGTGTAACTAAGGGCAGCTTTGACAGGCATTGCCGGAATAAGTCGCCTGGGCTTGCTACAGCCTATTACACCCCCAGGAGCATTTCCCCCCCAATAGAAACATGACTATCAGAAACAATGAGACAGTTCCCTCATTGTTGCTGAAGCTGTGGTTTCGTTCCTCATTATCCTACAGAAAGAAAAGCCCCGAGAGCGCCAAAGTTTCTGCATCCACAGCTAAAAATGGGGGCAGCATTCCCAGCAGTGGGAGCCCAAAGAGAGGGAAGCGTATAATCAAGAAAAATAACTGCGGGGAAAGATAAACTTATTTTAATTACCTTCAGAATTATACAGGGATTTGCTCTGGTGTACATTATAATCCCGTTGCTTTGCAGAGTCCGCAGACGCAGCGCCAACTTGAATTCCTCCTTCTTGCTATTTTCAGAAACCCGGTATTTGATGTAACTATTCCCAGCAAAGCTAAGGGAAGTGTGTCCTGAAAAAACCATTTGGAGAAGAGGCAAAAATAGAGAGAGACAAGCCATATATATATATATATACACACACACATACATACACACACAGACACACACACACACATTTTGAAATAAGACTTGGGAGATTATCCTACCGCTTGCCAAAGGGGGAAAAAAAGTTAATTAAGGAAGATGCACGGCTAACAAGGCTAAGGGAGAATATTTTTTTAAAAAAAGAAGAGCCCATCTTCTGATAGATTAAAAGCTTGTCCCTCTTGTTCAAGCACCTTACATTAAGGAAGATTAATTCACTAATAAGGGGGGAAATGTTGTTTCTTGATAGGAATTACTACCATGCATAAAATGCAATCGGGTCTATTTGTAGTGAACGAACCAGATAACAATTTTTATTATTATTTTAGTGCTGGTACATGGGGGAAGCCCTGTACAACTTGTGTTTTGCCAAGCTGAATACAGCCTACCAGCCATGTGTTCTGATGGACCTTTGTTAACCTGGCACCCTCCAAATAGATTTGGACTAAAATTCCCATCAGCCCCAGCAAAAACGCTGCATTTGCAAAGTCTGGCCGACTCAAGAACCAGCTTGGAAAAGCAGTAAAGCTCATTGCTGCCCCAACCCTCTTTTCACCCGCATTGAACTTCTACAACCAAGATGGTTTGGGTGATACCTGATGGTGCGACAGAACAGAGCGTGTACCTGAGCACTCCCCGAGCTTTCCAGGAGGGCACTGGCAGATGAATGGCCTCCGGTTGATTTCGTAGCCCACGCATTGCATATCTCCGGGACAGGGTTTCTCTGTGCAGGGATCACTAGAGCCTGGACACAATCCTCCTGTTGCAAATTGAGAATAAAACAGATACTGCTACGTTATCCATCACATAAAGGAAAAACCTTATGTGGAGGAATTACAGAATTTTAAGAGTTAGATGGTGCGAGGAATGAGGATGCTGCTTTTTCACATAAACCACAAATGCAACAAGCTAGACAGATGTTAGGGACACAGGTGGCGCTGTGGGTTAAACCACAGAACCTAGGACTTGCCGATCAGAAGGTCAGCAGTTCGAATCCCCGCGACGGGGTGAGCTCCCGTTGCTCAGCCCCAGCTCCTGCCAACCTAGCAGTTTGAAAGCATGTCAAAGTGCAAGTAGATAAACAGGTACCGCTCTGGCGGGAAGGTAAACGGCGTTTCCGTGCGCTGCTCTGGTTCGCCAGAAGCGGCTTAGTCATGCTGGCCACATGACCCGGAAGCTGTACGCTGGCTCCCTCGGCCAGTAAAGCGAGATAAGCGCCGCAACCCCAGAGTCGATCACAACTGGACCTAATGGTCAGGGGTCCCTTTACCTTTAGACAGATGTTAGCAGTTCAGATCGATTCACATCTGATAACTAGAAAGGTTTTAGAGCATGTGGCCAGAATGAGGTTATAACAGTTATCGACAAGACACCTGCAGTCTAGGTTGACTCACTTCTCATAACTGGAGATGTTTAGAACTTGTGGTCAAGATGTGGTTATTTTTGCTTGGCTTAGCAAGTAACTGCACAGGAACATAGACCAAATAAGGGAAATAATAAATAAGGCTAGAGGGGCGCTGAAATCAGAGTAATGGGAGATGTAAACAGGGGCGGGAATGTTAGTAGGGAAATTAGGCGGTCGTGATAGGCTGTAAACCTTGTAGTACCCAGCCAATGGGGAGACAAGGGAGGGAACCTGCGCTTCAGGTATAGGGAATATAAGCTTATGCTTTGCCAAAGCTGGGGTGTGCCTACTTTGGACACCTGATCTTGCAAGAACGTATTGCACTAAATAAACTCTTTACTGCTTCACCAATTTTGTTCAGATTTTATTTTAAGGAGTGGGATTCAGGGCCTTAGGGCCCACTTATTACAGACGGGACCTTGGCTAATCCAAATCTTGCAACAAATCTTGTAAGTGGAGCATCTCTGAGATGCACGACTGTGGGATCACATACTCCACTTCTTCAACCTTGTGAGCAACTTTTCCCTCCTTCCTCCTCTCTTCTGGATGAATTTCTATGTCCTTCCCTCTTTGGAACCATCCATGATGCAGTGTTGTGCTTTTACCAGTGTTTTTGCTAATCATGGCCATCTGAAAACACAGCTTGCAAATCTCATTCTATCCAAAACTCAGCCCTAATGCAAGGACATTTTTTTGCAAATACTTTCGAGTCCCAAGAAATATGGTTCCTTTCAGAGATCTTTCAGGGAGGATTGTGCCAGGGGCAAATGTCTGCATTGTGGCTCTCCCCCCACCCCAAAGCCACTAATTCTGAGTGACAGCAATTATTTCTTGCCCTCACTCTGAACTGGTGTTGCCATCCAGCTGAGTCTGAAGCTATGGGGCACAGTCACAAAGCCAAATATGACTGATAATATGGAAGCATTATATCAGCATATTGGCTCTGTGATCATTGATACCATGTCGTTGTCAAGAATATGGAATTTTGAGGAGAAAAGGCTCTGAACCATTAGCTGACCAAGGCTGTAAACTAAGAAAAACAGCACAAAAGTATGCGCGGAGGGCATTGTGGAACCTTGAAAGTTCTGTTTTCAAAACAACCATGTTCTCCTGCAAAATTTTGGCTGCAATTCTCCTTCTAACCATAGCTTGATCCACAGTTAAATGCGTTTGTCTGTCTGTTTATCTGGCTATAATATCTAAACATGGTATGTGCATGTGTGGTATCTTAAAACAAATTCAGGAAGAACAACTCCTTCCTGTTGCAATTAAAGCAATCTCTGTTAGTCTCAGCCAAATCAGGATTCTCTGACCATCTCATTTATTTGGCTCCCAAGTCTTATTTACAGAGTATAAAGGACACAGTCAACTTGTACGGGGGCAAACACTCCTTGTAGTTATCACAGGCAGTGAGTCCCTAACGCACTTCACCACAAGGGAAGCATGGTGTTGCTCGAGGCATAGCTCCAATTACTTTGCATCGTAGGTCTTTTCCTGGAAACAGAAAAATTATTACTGTAGGCTTCTAAGTGGACACGGCCTGCCTACAAATACGGCAGCAACCGTAAATGCCTGTGCTTGATCTACAGTGCATTGCGGTCAATTTAATCTTTCCGGGCGCTCCTCTCACTTTGTCAAATATTTGCTTGCTAGGTCTTGAAGGAATAAAACAGCTCAAAGGGCCCTGCCTTGCCACCGCCGTGCAAAACGATGCGTGGAAATTCTTACAAACAATGTACAGTGCTGAGCGCAGAATGGGAATATACGAGCCACAATGGAAAATCTTATACCAGGCTTGGTCTTAAGTTTATGGCACTGTGTAGGACACCTTCACCTTATGGAGGCTTGCATCATAACAACAAAAAGCCTTGACAAGCAAGCTGTCTGGCCAGAGGATGAATCTGAAATGGAAAATGACCAACATGCTGTCTCCTCCCATTGAGTATATACCTCTGTTGTGAACGGGATCCGTTCCAGAGGCCCGTTCGCAACATGAAAAGAGCGCAACCTGAAGCGCCGTATCTGCGCAGGTGCTTGGGACGATTTGGGGCTTGTGCGCATGTGGCAAAACTTGGAAGTAACCTTTCCGGTACTTTCGGGTCGCCACGGGAAAGAATGTAACATGAAGCAAATGTAACATGAGGTATGACTGTACTCAGCTTCCATTGCCCCAAATAATATTAATCTTCACCCCTCTTTTGTGTTTAGAGTTAGCCATTGTGGGGCCAAAACACCAGTTCAGGAGACCATATTTGGCTCAGGGGATGCTGGTGGCACGTAGGATTGCCAGCCTGCTCCTGTGTGTCTACAGCACAGGGAGAGGCACCCTGTGGCCATTCAAGTGTTTCTAGACTACAACTCCCATCATCCTTCACCACTGGCTATCCAGCTGGGGCTGATGGGTGTTGGAACCCACGGCATCTGGAAGGCCACAGGTTCTCCACACCTGCTGTTAAACCGTCTTGAGTTGCAAAAAATCAGCAGGTGAAGCTTCTCATACCTAGAGCACATAGCACCGCAGTAATGGAATCATTTATCCTGCTATTTCACATTCTCATTTTAAGGTTCTTTTCTTCCTATCCTGCTTGCTTCTTTTAAAAATCATGGCTTCTCTTTCAGGGCTGGAGGAAATCCTTATTCTATTTTGTTGTTTTTATGTGTATTTTAAAATGCAAGGATAACTTGGCTGCAGTGATATAAGGCTCTGCTAAAAATGGCAGAGCAGTTGAAATAGTATCTTCTGGAGTTCCCAATTGTCCATCTGATTCCACTGGCTCTTTCAATGTATCTATGTATCGCCTAGGCACTTGCACAGAGATCTGTATGCACAGGTTATTTGTCCTCAGAACACAATTAAATTTTATGTCATGTCAGGCGATAATTTTCAACAAGCCTCTCCGCGGCTGACAGATAGACAAGTCACTTGGGCAAAAAAGCTGCAGGACTCATGAATATACATAAGCTTGTTGGAAGACAACCCTGCTGAGAGTTTGGAACAAGGCACCGCATGTTTTCACAACCTTTTAACCTCTGGTGAAATCTCTGACACCAAGCAATAAAATCAATACACAGCCTTGTAATCAATCTTTGCCATGTTTCGGCTGATTCCCACTCTAGACAGAATAATCTCCCCATGAAGCCCAGAGATATGTGGGAAGAAGCTTATAATTTAATGCGACAGGCCTGCATGACCCAGCAAACCAAACACAGCTCACCAGTCATGCACTAGGGCATTCCGGGCCTAGGCAGGCACCACAAACAGCAGCGTGTGGGTGGGTGATGTCAAACTCTTGCTGGGCTTTCACTCACGGCTCACGGGCTGTGTTCTGTTTGATGAGGCACAAGGTGTGTGGGCCTGAGCTACTAAGTTCATATAAACTGACAGGTGCGCAGGCAAACTGTCTCAGGTAATCTCTGTGATGGCAGAGGCCTTCGGATCCTACGGTAGCAAGACCCCAAGTGAACCACAACCCTACACAGTAGCCAAAAAACACCCCAGAGAAACTCACCGATGCTTTGGCTGAACTACAAATGGGTCATAAACCCTCAAGCACCCAGAGATGCACATGGGTATTTCACAAAGGCATGTGACTGAAAAGGTTTCTGTAGTTGGTTGAGATGCTCAAGGTGGCTATTTTCCGACACTTTTGTGATGAGCCTCCCGATTCTCCAAGGAAGCAAATGACATTTAGGTTGCTGAACTGAGTCAACACGAAACAGATCCATTTATCAGCTGCCCAGCGGCAGACGTACCCATTGTCAGGAGCTACCAGGGCTGGAACCATGAACTTTAGGATGAGTGGCAAGCCACTAAGGTAGAACTGTTCCCAGGGCTGTGATGTCTTGTAGGCGGCAGAGCAGGGTTTCCCAGGGTTTCCCAAACTTGGGTCTCCAGCTATTTCTGGACTGCAACGCCCATCATTCCTAGTTATCAGGACCAGTGGTCAGCAGTGATAGGAAGGGTACTCCAAAAACAACTGCAGACCCAAGTTTGGGAGCCCAGGCTGTAGAGCAACCCTGCCTAGCTAGGCAGCTTATTGGCCGCCCCTAAACTGGCAGGGGCTATAAAATGTGCTGAATTACTATAGTAAATAAAATCTGCATCCAAAATGTGTGCTCTGCTGCCGGGTTGGATATACATTTGGGCTCTTTTCAGCAAGCTAGTCCCAGCTTGCGCACGAGCTGGTGCTAGGATGCGATCGCAGAACTAGGGTTTCATTAAATCAGCCGTTACCCCGTGCCTCTGCCACGACTGCAGCACTGTGGCAAAAGCAGAAGGGCACCTAAGTGCAAATGCCAGGAGCCACAACTGCTAGTGCTATCGTGTGCTTCTTCCGATTCTTTTCTTTTCTTAC